TAACAGAAAAAGTATAATTAAGAAGAAAAAAAAGACATAAAGATAACAATACATACATTAACAAAGCAGTCATGGAAATGTAGACGGATGAGAGAAGCAGCCATCCGAATCTCAGCCTTCAAGGCCATGCTAACTTGTTTACGGACAATTTGTACAAGAGAAGGACATGATTTATCGTAGATGCCAGGGCTTAGCTGTGTCCTGGCCCCTGAACAAATCATACAAAGAGTGAAAATAGTAAGCAGCGCATGTTTGTTCTGTGTTTTCATTGTCTAAGATGACTTGTTTAAATGACTTAGTAGAGTGATAGTTTATTAAGATGTGAATAATTGAGGTTCTATTTATAGAGAGAAAATAGATATCTACCATATTTAGGGCTTAATTGTGCTTCTATTAGTGGACTGTTAAGAGAATGATTAATGCATGGTGACGTATGGCGGCTCCGAAATATTGGTTTCTTGTGCTCAATAGGACGCATTAAGCTCAATATTTTTATAATTTCAGTAAGATTAGGCACTAAGAGACATTCATATTCATAGATTCATGAACTTCTTATCTTGTTTTGTATGTTGGGCTGTTTTGTCTTACGTAAACCACTAAGATTAGTGACTCTGTGTTTTCGAGCTAACATGAAGTCAACTTTGTAAAGAATAGTGATCTATTTAAAAATTTTAATGTATTCGAGGACGCAAGTGGATTTTTTTTTTTGTAAACAACTCCCCACTGTTATCTGTATGTGTTTTGAGGGTGCAATTGTTTTTTATTTGCTTTTTCTCTTTCTAGGGACTACTTAATTATTGGGTTATGCGTCTCACAGACTACAGAACTAAACAAGATTGTAAGGATATAATTCGGTTTACGAACAAGTAGTCACAAAGTTATACGTGATTACTTTCCAAAGTCTATGTCTTATCCAATACAACGTTTTGAAAATAACATTTGGCTGGGTGAATTATATTCATGTGATCAAATTTATTAAGTTCATGACCCAGCCAAATGTTATTTTCACCCAGCCAAATGTGATCAACTATTTCAAAGATGAATAACTTACTAAGAATTCAGAGAATTAGGAATAAACATTTGGCTGGGTGAATTATACTCTATGTCAACTATATGTTGAATGTTTTACAAATGAGAAGACAATTTCTATCTAAAATCGTTTGTTAACAACCCGAATTCGAAATGGATAAAGCCATCCACTGATGAACATTAAATATAAACAGAAATATACAAAAAGTAGTCAGCAACTCGGAACTCTGAAGTACATATCCCCGAAGACTATAGTGATGGTAGATTCCACGTAATAGTCGACTTTTTAATGCTTAGTTTTAATTAGCGTAGTGTTACATCTTAACTTGCCGCGATTTGAAGATCATTTTATTTAGTTTACAAAGTGCATAGTCCAATATGGTTCCACTTGAGCAATATCGGCACGCCAAATAAAATATACTATATAGTCACACGCCACATGCATTTATACTTTATTATTAATTCTTATGTCAACATGATATATATATATATTTTTTTAAACACAACTTACTTTCATTCATACTTAACTTGTGAGATTACAATAAAAAGAGGGAATTAAACATCCTCTTAGATTAAAAACATATACAACTCTAGCAAAATAAGTTAAGATAGATAGTTCTTCATGAGAAGATGACAACGAAATCAATACAAAGCTTGACTGCGTCGATAATGCTTTTACGACAAAGTCGGATAGCTAAGAAATAGTCACATGTGACAGCTGTATTGAGTTATTTGTATTGGTTAATTCCGGTTTTCTTTTGCCGGTTTAATCATTTTTGGTTTAGTGTAGTTTGTATATATTTTGTACTCTCTCTTTCTTTTACGTAATAAGAAAGATTCCCATAACAAACTTTCTCTCTCTAAGATGTTGATCTTCTTCAACTAATATGGTATCAGAGCCAGGTTAAAGATGGCCACAATTAAGCTGTTGTTAAAGATTTCTGCATCAAAGAAATGGTTTCTGCATCAGCTTGATATATCAAATGCGTTTCTTAATGGTGAATTGGNTCTCTCTTTCTTTTACGTAATAAGAAAGATTCCCATAACAAACTTTCTCTCTCTAAGATGTTGATCTTCTTCAACTAATATGGTATCAGAGCCAGGTTAAAGATGGCCACAATTAAGCTGTTGTTAAAGATTTCTGCATCAAAGAAATGGTTTCTGCATCAGCTTGATATATCAAATGCGTTTCTTAATGGTGAATTGGAGGAAGAAATATATATGAAGCTTCCTGAGGGTTATGAGGATCGTTTGAAAGATTCTATACCACACAATGCAGTTTGTAAACTCAAGAAGTCCATCTATGGACTTAAACAGGCTTCACGTCAGTGGTTTAAGAAGTTTTCTACTTCTTTAGTTCAGCTTGGTTTTGAGAAGGCACATGGTGATCATACTCTATTTGTGCGCCAGTCTGATTCTGATTTTGTTGCTTTGTTGGTGTATGTTGATGACATTGTTATTGCCAGTACCAGTGAGGTCATCACTACACAACTGATCAGTGATCTCAAGTCTTTCTTCAAGCTCCGTGATCTTGGCAGTTTGAAATTTTTCTTGGGTTTGGAGATTTCTAGGAATCATGATGGTATTTCTCTTTGTCAGAGGAAATATGCTTTGGAGTTGCTTCATTCTACAGATATGCTTGACTGTAAACCTTCGTCCATCCCAATGATTCCTAACTTGAAGTTGTCCAAAGAAGATGGAGATTTGCTTGAGGACAGAGAGATGTATAGACGGATTGTTGGGAAGCTTATGTATTTGACAATCACACGCCCTGATATTACTTTTGCTGTGAATAAGCTTTGTCAATACTCCTCAGCTCCGCGTTCTTCTCATCTTCGTGCTGTTTACAAGCTTCTTCAGTACATTAAAGGATCGGTTGGTCAAGGTCTTTTCTACTCTGCATCTTCTGATCTTACTCTAAAGGGATTTGCAGATGCTGATTGGGCGGCTTGTGTGGATAGTCGTCGTTCTACAACTGGTTTCACAATGTTTATTGGTGATTCTCTTATTTCTTGGCGATCCAAGAAACAACCTACTGTCTCTCGTTCTTCTGCAGAGGCCGAGTACAGAGCTCTTGCCTTGGCTTCTTGTGAGATGATGTGGCTGAGCATTTTACTTCGGGAGTTGCGGGTACATTCCACCTCTGTTCCTATTCTCTTCTTTGATAGTACTGCTGCAATATACATTGCTACCAACCCTGTCTTCCATGAACGCACCAAACATATTGAATTAGACTGTCATACCGTGCGTGAGAAGTTAGATAAAGGACTTCTGAAGACTCTTCATGTCAGAACAGAGGATCAGATTGCTGATATCCTCACTAAACCATTATATCCTCATCAGTTTGAGCATCTAAAGTCCAAGATGTGCATTCGTAATATCTTCTGCACATCTTGAGGGGACCTATTGAGTTATTTGTATTGGTTAATTCAAGTTTCCTTTTGCCGGTTTAATCATTTTTGGTTTAGTGTAGTTTGTATATATTTTGTATTCTCTCTTTCTTTTACGTAATAAGAAAGATTCCCATAACAAACTTTCTCTCTCTAAGATGTTGATCTTCTTCAACTAATANTCGTAATATCTTCTGCACATCTTGAGGGGACCTATTGAGTTATTTGTATTGGTTAATTCAAGTTTCCTTTTGCCGGTTTAATCATTTTTGGTTTAGTGTAGTTTGTATATATTTTGTATTCTCTCTTTCTTTTACGTAATAAGAAAGATTCCCATAACAAACTTTCTCTCTCTAAGATGTTGATCTTCTTCAACTAATAAGCTGAAAACTAGCTTTCACCTACGAAAAAAACCGAAGTAATATCAGTTGCATCTTCAGACCCCGTACAGACCAACATGATATATACCTATATGTAAAAATTCCACATTCGATCCCTCCGAGTTATTTTTGGTTCGTGTTCTCTTGATTGTAATGTGTGTGGAAACGTTGAGAACTTATGGTATTTGTTTGGTCAAATTAAGTGAGCATCTGAATTCGGAAGTTAGAAATGAATATGCAAATAGAATTGCATCAAAACTACATAAAAAACGGGGAAATAGTAAAACAAAAAGCTTCAACCCTCCAACTTACGTGAACTGGACATTTTAAAAAACTCTATCATCAATAACCTAAAAACTGCAAGATGAGAATTGCTTAGCCGAGATATTTGACACATTCTGTTAATTAAGGAAGTGCTAATTTAGACTAGAACTGGGTCTAAGTTGGCTAGTTATAATTAATGCTAATTGCATTTAGATTTTTTGGCTTATGAAATAGGTCAAACTTGTTTTGTCCGATTCACGTTAGGTGATACTAGTTTATAGTTCTCTTACTGTGGCTATCGAAAATGTGAGTGTAGCATATCAACTTTTCTAAACATACACCAATTTTTTTATTTTTTTTAACTTTTCTTAACATACACAACACCATGTGTTACACAATTCGTTCGGGAGGGACATTATATTACAAAATATATATTTATTTCTCATATTCATAACAATCACTAAAAATCAGCTACGGCTTGAAACGTGGCCGGTTGTCGAAGGACTTGTGATCAAGCCATATTTACTTGTGCCAGTTTCACCACATATCCAGCGCCCTGATGTATCTTTCAACATAGTTGATGGCACATGGCCAGTGAAGTGAACTGTGTGACTATGACGATATATGGCTTGTAGTTGGCTGGTGATAGTGAACAAGTTTAGATTCAATTTGTAATTTATATTTAATCTAAAACGTACTCCACTAGATAAAATATACTGTAGATGTAAGAACTTTTTAATGGACTGAGGAAACATTACATGAGTAATATACACGTTGAGCAGAGAATGAGTTCTAGGTTAACACGTATTTACTGAGCTTTCTTTAAACGATACCACAGATTCTATAGAATATTGAGAGAGTAGAGTGGGTGATCCATCGTTTCACGTCAATGATATATATTCTTAAGACAAAAATCACAATATTTGACATATAAAATATAAAATGTATTTGATTGAAAGGAATAAAAATTCTGGCAAAAGTAGATTCCGGTTATGGAAGTCTTGGGTAAACTTGACCACGTTTTGATTCCTTCTTTTAAGTAGTACTTAACTCAATAAAAGAATATTTAACAAAACAATAATGATCTAGTTGCATGGGAAAATTGATATCTTTTATTGGTTGCTAGGCGTTTTGTGTAGTTTTCTATAGATGTTCGGTTGGTATGCTGATAATTAAAATAGGTTAACCCACTGACCCATATGGGCCCAAACTTGGACGCGTTATCCTGTCTGCAATTCGGCCCGAAGCTACTCAGAGATTCTCTTCAAGCTCAGCTCCCTGCAGCTGCCTCAGACACAGATATACTTATGCTAGTAAAAATGAAACATACAGAGCATTAAAAAGAAGAAACTTGAAAACTATATCATCCATAAGTTCTCTCACTACAAATAAACATTACTTTTACTACAATCTTATTAGCCGGGGAACTTATCATCAACAAGATGAACCAACCAGGTCACAGAGAGGGTAAGAAACGAGCTGAACCAGAAAATAAAGCTTACCATGTCTTCCTCATATGAACTTCACCGGGGGAAAGCAACTCTCCTGAACCTGACACCATAAGCGATGAGATAACTAAGACTACAACTCCTAAAGACAAGCACATTTTCACATATACATCATAACGATCCATCACTAAAACGCCTGTCCAAGTAATCATATCACATGGCTTTTCCTTGTTCTCCAATAGAATCATTCTCTGATGCATCTTCAACCTTCTCAACCGCCATTTCATTTCCCTTACTCTGACCCATACCAACCATAACCGGATTCGCTTCCTCACATTCTTCAAACTCCTTTTCAGCTTGTTCCTTAGTATCTTGGGTCTCTTTTGCTTCATCCGCATTGTTTTCTTTCACCGCAACATCCTGCATACAAATATCTTCAGCAACAACATGATTCTCCTTTGTATCCCCACTCGTACGTGCATCAGATCCACCAGTATCATCACCCTCACTCTCAGACTCATTCTCATTCTCATTCTCATTCTCATTCTCAACAACCTCCTCATTAACATCTTCAGCAACCATATCCCTCCTCTCCAAATACTGCAACCTCCTCCTCAAATCACCCAACTCCCTCTCCATCAAAAACAGCCTCTCCTTCAACGTCAAATTCTCCTCCTCAAGCTGCGCAATATGACTATCCTGATCATCAACACGATTCTCCAACACATTGTTATACTCCGAACCACCACCACCGCCGTAACTCGGATAAATCATCTCAAACCTACTCAAATCATGATCCAACCGCCTCTCAACCTCAACATGCTCCTCAACATCACTCTCACTAGATCCACCTTCCTCTTCCTCATCATCATCCAACTCATGTCCATCAGATCTAAGCCTAATCAGCCCCTTCATTGATCCGTAACCGTCAACGCCCCACTCCTCCTTCGCCATATCTCCCAACACTTCCCTCGACGGAGAAAACATCGGCGTCGGGAGTACAGCCGGCGTCACGGGGGAGGGAGACACCAGCTCGGCGATTCCTCCCGATTTCTTCGCTCGGATGATAAACGACGTCGTGTTCCTCGGAGCGTAAGGGACGTAACGGTTATTATTATTATTAGCATTACCGTACTTCTTCTTCGGGTAGAACTTCCTCGTTTTCATCCTGTTCTGAGATTGGAGCTCGTTGAGCGCCGGTGGCTTGTAACCGCCAGAACCACCACCGACGCCAGGGTTGTTGTAGATCGGAATAGTGGAGTTGTTGCGATTCCTCATCATCGGAGGTCTCTTGTCGTTAGCGATCTTCTTCCCTTTCCAGTTGTTATTGTTGTTACGGTTCATTTTCGAGGAGGGGAAGTTGTTAGGCTGGTTGTGATACTCGGAGGTGTTAAGGTTATAGTTACGTGGATTCATCATCAGAGGCTGGTTGTTGTTGTTCAACATAGCCTGTGGTGGTGGCTGCTGGTTCATCATACCAATAATTGGATGGTTTAAGCCCTGAGACTGGTTTAGCAACGGAGTCTGGTTCATAATCCGAGGCTGAACCGGGTTCATTACCTGCAACGGCGGTGGAGGATTCATCCTCTGTTGAGGCGGTGGTGGATTCATCAGCTTGGATTGGTCGTTGTTCATCTAAGGATACACAAAGACACACAAACACTTAAGGCACAATGATGAAAAATTAATAACAGAGGCGCGGAATCTCAAGTCAGCAGATAGATCAATGAAGCTGAGATCAATCTGAGTGGTTGAGAGTGGAATCTACAAATACAAACAAAAGATTAACGGTAAAAAAAAGAGATTTAATCAAACAAATCAAAGAAGAGAAGCTCTCTCGGATTTGAGTTTTTGTATTTTGTTTCAATTTAAGATGGATTAGGGAGTTTTTGAGAAAACTTGTAATTGGATCTGGAGACTTTTCTTTTAGAAGAAAATGATAAAAAGTAAAGAAAACCTCTTTGTACGAACAGCTTATGAGAGATGATGATGAGATTCTTTAAATAGAGGCTAAGGAAGGCTGCCGGGTCTAATCAACGACGGAGATGTAATACGTCGATATCAACGGCTACTGTTTATTTATTTCTAGGGTAGAGTCTGTTACGCGTTTCTTTCTTTTTACGGGTAAAAATTATAAATACTCTTAATTTGTAAATCACGCCTAATCATTTAATTTAATTTATTTCCATGGTAAACTAAAAATCTTTTAACTGTAATAAACTTGTCAAAATAAATGATAAATCTTCAGACAAGAACTCTCTGCCAATGACGAATGTTTAAGTCCAATACATTTTTTCTTAATTGCTTCTAAGCTTCTCATAAACAAATAAGAAAATGATGCAATAATAATGAGAGTTTCCAGCGAGAAGCCCACTGATCGTTTATCAAAGATGAGTAGATCATCCGCAAAACCTAAACGCATCTACTTAACTGTTTCAAATGACCTAGAAGTTCTCAATTCTCTGCAATTCTATCATGTGAACAAGTAAGAACATTCATTGCAATAACGAAACGAATATGAGAAACGTCTCTGTTGGAGCCTATAGAAAGAGCCCAACGAATAATTTGGAACGTAGCAAACCGAATCAATCTCATAACACTACCATTTACTATAAAGCCAACATGCTAAATATCATCAAATCTCTACGCCCAGAGTTTTCAACATTTTTGTAACCTGGGTCAAGCAAGTTTCCCCCTCTAGAAAACGCAGGAAAGTATATCCACGACACCATGGTGTCTGCTTCAGGGCAAGATATGCTTATGGACCCTTCCTGTTATTATATGACTCACACATTAGAATGTTACTTCGTTTTTAGTCTCACCAAATTTGCAGTCATTGTTGGAAAGAAAAAAGTCAGGAAGAAGAAAGGAGCACATACTTTCTCTTCCTACGATCAATCCCAGCAGAAACCATATTCCTCGGTTCATTCTTGGCAAGCATATTATTGTACTGCATTGGAGAAGGAGCTGGAGAGGGAGCAGCAGCAGTTGCAGATGGGACAGGTGGCAAAGAGGATGAAGGTACAGCTGGTGGTTGTGGAGCTACAGGCTCTGGAAGAGGACGAGGTAAAATGTGCTTCAGCCTGTTGTTTCTGTAGTTCTTCCAATAGTAAAACTGTTGCCTATGTGCCAATTCCTGAAAAAAAGCCCCAATCCAACAAGAAGAGAAAGGATAAGGACATAAGGGTTTGGAATATTAAACCACTTTACCTATTCACCAATGGACGACCACAGCGTAGAATCACAGAACAAAACTAGAAGAAAGTAAGTACTAGAGACCAGAAACCCTCAAGCCCTAAAGCGCCCCAACGAAACCCATTCCAAAACACCAGCACACTAAACCTTTGAATCACTTGCTCACACTAACATGTTTTGTTAATGATTCTTATCACATTGGTTTACCTTGTTAGCAGGATGGGCCATAGCACTCCTGAAGTTGGGGTTTTGAAGAAGTTCGAGAAAATATAGGCAGTGTGGATACCTGTAACAGATCATAAACAGAAGAACATAAAGAAAACAAACAAGAAGAGAAAGCATAACATGCATTATGGCGTGAAAGGAATAGGAACAGACATGATGAGAAGCCTTTACCTATTGCTGCTATGATGAAAATGATAGATAAGGGGATTAGAAACAAGCTGAGCTTATTGAGAATGAGAAGGAAAGGCATGAGGAGGTTTTACAATTTTGGTTTGGTACAAGATTGTAAATAGTTTTCATAAAGTAAGAAGTAGGTATTATGCTTTCACTCTAAGAAACAGGTTACACTTGTTGTATATGTTTTTTTTGATGAATATAATTTAGCATTCATTCAAAAAAAAAAAAAAAGAAGAAAGCATAACACTATGAGATATTCCAACTCACATAATGAACTTGATGTACTCTGGTCGCTGCCAATACTGAAGATACTTCAAGTATTCAATAAACGCTTCATCTTCAAAATACCGATTCTGTGCCAAGTCTGCCAAAATAGAACCCAAAACTAAGTGGTAAAGTTCTTCATGGAGCATTAAAAAAAGCACAGAATCTCTTATCACTTCCTAATACTTTTAAGTAACGCCTTCATGTACTTCTGAACTATAAGTAGATACATGTGAACATTGCACAAACCCTAAGCACTACAACGAATCCTAAACTCTAAAATGGAGTCGAGAAGCTTTTACAGTGGATGTAAGTAGGATTGGCGAGACACTGAATAAACTCAAGTTCAAGTAAGAATCGTTGCCTTCCATCGTCGGGATCCTTGTAAGTGCTCTTTGGCCTGTTGAGATATGCGATTTTAGAAACCAACAACTTAGCAGATTTGAAATCATGTGAAGAGGGAAAGTGTACACTCACGAAGATGGAGTTTCTGATGCATCGTTCATCTCCTCTGGTGAAGCCATGGACGAAACGGGAACCTGGATCAACCAAATCGACGCGAGTTCGTTATGCCAAATACGAAAAAACGGAGAATCAAATTTGGTGGATTCTTCAATTAAAAAAAAAAGTGTGGAATCAGAAAATCAAACTCAGACGTTAGCTCACCGACGGCGACGGATACGAGACTCTAGTCACCTCACCGGGAGAGAACAGACTGGGACGGAGGAATATGGTTCTGGAATTGAGTATTGGTTATATACTAAACCGAAACCGGTTCAAACAAATTAACAATCACGTTTATATACCAAATCTAAACCGGTTTAGTACTCATGTTATTAATCTCTTTGCTTATGAATCACACAAAGACAATACCGGTTTTTATTTTTTGGTTGAACCAAATACGATATATAACCAGCTCACAAGAGAACAATTACGTAACTACGTTTATATACCAAATCTAAACCGGTTTTGAACTCATGTTACTAATCTCTTTGCTTTATGAAAATCAAAGACAATACCGGTTCTCCTTTTTTGGTTGAAACTTGAACCCAATACGATTTATTTTGTGCAACCGGTTCTCGATACAACTGTTGTTTGTAGTCTGAGTATGTAGATGCTAGAAATCAAATTTTGGGACTAGAAATCAAATATGGTTTAGCGAAAAATAAGAAAAAAATCAAATATGGAGGTTGTACTATTTCTTCTTCATACTAACTATAGACCACAATGGTTGAGGATTAGGTACATAAGATTAGACTGGCTCCAACAAGTTATGGTGTAATAATACCCACAAAAATGCAACAAAATGATATGAATAGAGAGCTACAATTTTTTCTGCTGTGATCCACAAAATGTACCAAAAATTGTTGAACATGCCAGTGTCTTGAGACCCTGGACTGAAACTAGGCAACTCCCATTACAGTCTTTGTACCCAGCGTGGGTCATGTGACCAAGCCTCACTTTCCGACCAGTGGCAAATTGCAATACTCAGGTATTGGTTTAACAGCTTTCACCATAGCTTGTGGATCCCGATTTCTAAATCTGATGAGATGGAGACAAGTAACTGATTAGAAGAGTGCCACTCAGCTTTGAACACTCTTTTCTTATGAGCTTTGATCGACAGAGACGGGCTCGCTGCATTGTAACGGATATCAAAGATGTGGATCGCCGGGTCTGAAGAGCCAGATGAGATGTGTAAACCATCAGGAGACCAAGACTGGTTTATTAGAGCTGACTGAGATTCACTGCTTTCTTGCTTCCACCCAAAAGAAAATAGTTCTGTCTGAGGCAATCTTACATCGTACAACCGAAGTTGCCTGTCTAGCTGCCTGCATATGCAAAAACAATTAACTCTTTGAGATTTTCTGGGGAGATACTATTAAATTAAGAGTTTGCTTCAACTTCTTTTACCTTGTCTGAAGCATAACAAGATTATTATCTCGTGGGTTTGGAAGTAAGTTTGTGCATTTGTTGTCCAGTCTATGCTTGAATGTGACTTTTTCTTCTCTGGTATCAAACCCAACAAATCTCCTATCGTCTCCACATGACAATACGAGATTGTTATGGCGCATTCCAGCAACTCCCATCACGGCTGACGTGTGCAAGTCTTTATGCAGAAGCCTGGATTTCCATGCGTTACTCTCACCTTGTTCACGCCATAATACTACTGCATGGTCACACCCTCCTGTGATGAAACAAGGATCATCCCAAGGCGTAAACATGATTCTGTTGATAAGACCTTTGCTATGAGGCCTATCCTTGAGAAACTTTGACTCACAAGTCTGCACATGAAACAAAGATCCAACTAGTTAGCGTACATAACTACCTCAATAACAGTATAAACATCGAGTTTTAGAACAGATAGATAAGGTCATGAAGATCAAGTTAACTTTAAACAAGTTTAAGGACACACTCCATTCATCAATTTTGCAATCAAAGTTTAGATATGGTAAAGTCTAACAGTTTTTGATATAGCTGTTTACCTCTCGAGCTTCGTTCAAGTATAAGGCTGATATCTGAGCGTGACCTTCATCTGCGGTATACACAGAGAAAAGCGCACTTTTGTGTGGATGCCAAGCTATATCTTCTGCCCATCTCTTTTGATCTACTTCTACCCTATTAACCGTCTTAAACAGAGTGGCTGAGGACCTGCTCAATGGCGGAAACGAATTCAAGAAAATATAAATAAAATTTCATGAAAATAAGTCTGAAAAAGGAGTTGGGTTCATAATATCTTTGAAGGTGTGTTGCCAAATATAAGCAAAACTAAAGTTTGCCGACTTATCACGTTGTTAGATGAAGTCATGAAGATGATGTCAAATGAAAATCCAAGAACTTGATACGTTCTTAAAATCAAGGAACTGTATATGGATTTGAAGTAGTATAATCCAATAACTCCTAGAGCATTTCTACCTAAATAACCATAAATTAACTAAACCTCAGGAAATCAGCTAAAAATATTATAATGAGTAAACAAGACATGTATAACACGCAGACATACCTATCGGAATGAAGCTTCCAAAAATGAACCACACCATCCAATGCACTGTAGATAACCAAAATAAGAGAGAAAATAATATGAGAAGAGTGTACATAAGATGAAGCTAACTTTGTCCCAAGGACTTTCTTGGCATCCTCTTATGCATGTTATACCATTTCCTTAGTAAAGAATCCAGACAAAACCATAATCTACAATCTAGAGTCCAAGTTCGATCCACAAGACTGGTAGTAAATACAGTAGCTGTGTCTTTTGATCAATTTTGGAAAAGAAACATTAAAGCACCTTGTAGCAAAAAGATCACGGTTTGAAGGAGAAAGAGCAAGACTTCTCATTCTTTTGGTGTGGCCACTTGGTAGCATAGACAGGGTACGACTTTCAATTGTGGCACGCAGAGAGCTCCTACCTATAAGCGCTATTAACTCTTCATGTCCATGGAACTCTGCAAACAAAAACATAAAATAAACTCAGACCCTATGAGAAGCTGAGATGTGGCAAACCGACAAAAAGAAGAGACTCTTTTTTTACCAGACTTTTCCTGTTGCGCTGCTTGTACAGGACTGTTAGAAGAAACTCTGTTCCTTGCCTTTGCAAAATCCTTATCAGTGTGGTTATCTCGAGCTTGAGTTTGAGTTTGAGTTTGGTTATCTCGGCCTTGTACTTGGGTTCCTCTTACCACTTCATTAGGACGAGACCTCTTAACTTCAGACCCATTTTTCACTTCTTCTGGGACATTAGAATCACTCCTATCCACGGTCTTAGCTTGTGCGGTCTCATTCACTTCCGGTCTAACAGGAACAGCAGAAGCTTTTCTTTTGAAAGTAGGCGGCAAAATAATGGACGGCATTTTCAACGGTTTAATCTCACTAGAAGGATGTGGGCTAGAGGTTTTATATTCCATCTTCTCACCACGTGGATGTGAATTAGTGGTTCCATTGGTGGTCTTCACTTTACTTCCCTCGGTCCAGAACTCAGCTATACCAAGTAAGCTTCCGGTTTTACCACGCACCTTCGGTTTTCCCTTGGTAAAATTTGCGCTTTCAACGCTATCAACTCGTAAAAACTTGGTCTCAGCATCTGCCATCAGTTTTCTCTCTTCAGCAAGCTGCAAACGTTACCAGATTTTTTTTTTTTTAAATATCAAGAAAAGACCAAACAATATGAAGCTTCTGAACATGAAGATGACATTCAAATAGTTTGTTTTTTGTAATGGATGAATCAAATGAGAAAAGGTCAATGGTTATATTTGATTTGAAAATCAAATTGAAAAATCCCATATGATTATATTTGATTTGAAAATCAAAATGAAGCAAATGAAAGAAGAGAGAGAAGAGACCTTGCGCTCGAGGCTTGTGAGCTGATCTTTAAGGACTTCGATGGACTTGGCACGCTGGTCCATGAAATCAATTAGACCTTCTTTATCATCTGGGATTTTAGTTGACAACGTATTTGCTTCTGCTTCTTCTTCGCCTTGCTCAACTTTAGGTTTCTTCATCGTCGCCATTGGGGGCAGCAGTCTCCGTCTTCCTTCCTTTATTCCCGCGCTTATCGCGAGGAGTGGGTATCGCGAGGAGTGGGGATTAATTGATTGATTTTCCCTCTCGTCTTTTCAGTTTTAGCGGTTCGTGGGGTCGCCTCACTCACTAGGGTATGGATAAATGGAAGTGGAGTCGCCAAACTCATTTTATACTTACGAATCCTTCTAGTTAAACTTTTTATTTCCCCCCTCCCATTTTTCATTTTGCCACCAAAAAAAAATACTGTTGGACATCGTCTAGGTTTGTTTTTCAATTGTTTCAAAATTTATTAACATCATATGCATTTTCTATTAGCTAATATATTAAATTATAATTTTAAAATTATTATTAGTTCAAAATTAATATGAATAACTATTTATAAGAATAATATATATAAACAAATTTTAATATATTTTAATGTCTGAAAACATTTTAAAAAATTACGAATACAACGTTTTTTACATCCATTTGAACAAATTTCGGTGGAAAAAAAGAACGTTATGACATTTGTAATCGTAGCTGTAATAGAGACTGTTTCTTAGAAATTATAAAACACTGATCTCAGTATACAACAAATTAACCTCTGTTTGAAAAACAGTCGGTCCAGAAAAAACGTTGGGATTAGCTTCAGCATTCAGAAAATGTACACAGAAGCAATGGAAGTTAAGAAAGATGTCAATAGTATGGAGACAAAGTTCACACCGTTGTTGTCAAGAATGTCCACTCCTGAAATCTTCTTTACCGTTGGCCCTGGTTTCCCTACAACCTGCACACAACATTCCATCAACAAGATGCTCTTCTCTTTCGATCCACCTATATACATGTTTTCTTTCAAAACTTACCTTGTTCCGGACAGAACAGAAGCCACTGAACTGGATGGTTGCTCCAAGCACGGAATCAATAAGACTCCCACATAATCCAGCTAACGCAGAGACTGGGATTACCAAGAGTTGTTTGAGAGCCACATCACTTGCACATCTTACAGTAAACAGTCCGAACACAAGGAATGTTACTCCCACAGTGGCGCCTGCTGCCACAGCAGCTAAGAGTCCTGCCTTTGTAACTCCACCGTTTGTACCCTTCTTCACCGGCTGAGAATGAGAAACCAAACGTTTAACTGACCAAATAGCAAGAAAAAAAGAAAGAAGAGAGAACCTTTAGCGTTGTGATTAGTCTAGGTTGGGCATCGCTAAGCACCCCAAGCTCGGAGGACCAAGTGTCTCCGTTACAACATGCGTAATGACCGATGATCCCACCAATAAGAGCTGTTAGAATCTCTGACTGCTTCGAGTCCAGACACTTGTCCTGCCATCCCGTTAAAGTAGAAGCAGTTACAACTAGAACCGACGCAATTCCACTATTGCAAAGCACTTGTTTCCTAAAACAAAATATTTGATGAGTACCCTGTCAAAAGCAATTTTCATAATCATCATTTGCTAATGTTCCAACATCAAAACTAACATTGTTTAACCAAGTAATCATAGTTATCGATTCTACTTATACTATTCCCAAGATAAAATACTATTATCTACATAAATATAAGAGCAGAGCTATCATTTTCGTAAGCTAAGATTGACTACAGGTGATATCAAAGTGTGAATAAGCTCACAAGATAGATGCAAGAAAACGTTACCAGTTCCTTTGGCCACCTTCCTTGAACTCAACATCAATGCGTCGTTTCTTATCTTCTCCAACCTTGGTAAGCTTCGAGGAAGTGAGAAAGAACACGAGCAGCAGAGCTCCGTACCTTTCAGATTCAACAGATTAATCCGATCAGTCTCATCATATTACATAAATAGATTAAAAGTCGGGAGAAGAAACCTGAAACCGGCGGCGAAATGGATGGTCATGACGATGAATCCAGCAACTCCGCCGGAGAGGTTTAGCGATTTCCGCTTGTAGGATCGGAATGCGATGAGAGAGGAAATAAAGACGGCGAAGATGAGCATGAATTGAGGTGAAGTTTCCATTTTTTTCCAAGTGGCGGAGATTCTGATGAGGAGGAGGAGGCTCCGAGATTCAGTTGGTAGCCGTTGACCCCCCCCCGAACTAGTCATCATCCATCATCACTCAGCACAGCACTCTAGTGTTTCGCATCCCATTTTATATATTGGGCCTTAACTGGGCTTCACTATTAGGCCTAAGATAACATATATTCTTACATGGCGGGATTTAATCCGATGTGGGGCCTAGTAACGATTTCTAGTCTGACGTGGCACTATCCTGATCACGGCAACCGTATTACATTATCTGCTTCACTCTTTGTCTCTCTGGAGCAAAAATGGCTACGGCTGCTGCTTCTTCCCTTACAATCGCGTCCTCCTTGTCCGAGCCCCGGACTCAGTTCCATGCACCGAAGCGCTCGAACCTTTCTCTTCAATACTCTGTCCCGTGTAAGGCCAATTCAAGGAGCAAAAGACTCGTTGTAAACTCTGTTTCATCGCCCAAAGTTGAGCTCCGTACTGGCCCCGATGATCTCATTTCCTCCCTCCTCTCTAAGGTCAGTATCTCTTTCGTTTTTTTTTCTTCTACAGGATCTTCCCTTTGCAGATTATGGAGTCCTGTGTGTGAAACAGGTTGCGAATAGCGATGGAGGTGTGACACTTACCCCTGAGGAACACAAGGAAGTGGCACAAGTAGCTGGAGAGCTTCAGAAGTATTGTGTGAGCGAGCCTGTTAAGTGCCCTCTCATTTTCGGAGGTAATAATCTAAGCTTCTTTCTTTTTATTAAAACGTGAACTTACTGAATCTTTTGCTGCAGATTGGGACGTGGTGTACTGTTCTAGACCGACCTCTCCTGGTGGAGGCTACAGAAGCGTGATAGGCCGCCTTTTCTTCAGAACCAACGAGATGATTCAAGGCATTGATTCTCCTGATACCGTGAGGAACAGAGTTTCCTTCACTGCTCTTGGCTTTCTTGATGGAGATGTCTCTTTGACAGGTGAATTGCAGAATCCTAGATAGATTATTTGGTCAAACCCAGGATTTAATGTTTCAACCTGTGTTTGGTATTTGCAGGGAAGCTGAAAGCGTTGGACAGTGAGTGGGTTCAGGTAATATTCGAGCCTCCGGAACTGAAGGTGGGATCTTTGGAGTTTAAATACGGTTTCGAAAGCGAAGTGAAGCTTCGGATCACATACGTTGATGAGAAACTTAGGTTGGGATTAGGCTCTAGAGGATCATTGTTCGTCTTTAGGAGACGTCAATAAATAATTATATGAACTTCCATGTCTCTTCTCTCCCAGTTCTGTATCAATCAATGCAAATTCACTACAGAATTGAAGAAACAACATATGGGTGTTCCTGCGAGAATGTTTTAGATGGAAATATTGTTGTGTAATGTAAACATCTATCCAAGAGTGTCTCTAGACATATTCATTACACTTAAAAACGTCCTCTCCCTCCCCTATGTCCTCGCCCTCGCCCTCTTCCTCGTCCTCTTCCACCTCTTCCCCTTCCATGGCCAAAGCTGTCATCTGTTCTTCCGTAATCAAACATATTCATTCTGATATCCGCTGCCCCGCTTCCGTGCACCTCCTGTCCCTGAACAGCAAATTACAGTCTCAGCTCTCTCATTGTAACCAATGTTGTTTGAATGGTCCAAATACACAACTCATAAGCCATTGAATGAACAACAGATAACAAGGTGTGCCAATCATATCAATCGACTGGTTGATTATTTTAATAGCGAATTGAGCACATAGAAGACGGGAAATAAAGGTTTTTCTAATACTCACATAAGAGTCTTCAAGATCAAACTGATTCTGAAGCTGCCACGCAAGATCTTCATCGCGTGTAGTGTCACTCGGATGGTTAGCTGTTGCAGCAGCTCCCCCACTGGTATTCCTCTTTTCCCACTCCTCAAGTGTAAATACCGCGGAGTCATCTTCTTCTCTTCCCCTCCCTCTACCTCTACCTCGACCTCTTCGTCCTCGGTATTGCCGTTCATTTGAACCCGAATGTCTCATCTTCTCAAGTAGTACCTGAGCCGCCGCTTGGTTCTGTAAAGGAACAGCTTCCACCGCTGCAACATTGGAGATGTTATGGCACTAACAAGCATTAGCGTTACTTGGCCATATAGAGATGAATGAAAATAAATCTCATCTAACGATCAATGAAATTGCAAGATAAAATTGACAAACTAATTTACAGAACAAAAATGCATCCCTATACAAAGAGCTTTTGATAAAGTAGAAGGCAAACCTTGTTTAGGTCTTGTATCAGAACTGCTTGGCTTTTCTTGATTTTCAACTTTGACAGATATTTTCGGATCAGAATCTGCAGAACTCCTCTGTAAATTCTTATCTGCACCTATTTTGTTCCCAGCAACTTCACTAGTTTCCCCTTTTTCTCCACCAGTTTGTTTTGCGGCTCTTTCTGCAGCAGTAGGTTCAATAGTCCTAGAAGTCGTCTTGTAGGAATCTGTCAATAATCAAACAAATGCTGACAAGTTAACTTCTCTGATGCACTGTCCAAACTTCTAGCAAAAAATGTAAGCAAACAGGCTCAAAACAGATGAAAGACCAAATCAATATACCATTATTTTACCACACAACGAAAATGTAGTCACTGAAGTTCAATTTTTTAAACAGTGGAGACATAGGAATATAGGATATCCAAATAAGTCCATATAGGTTACAGAAGCAGATACATAGAGATTCTGGAGCTATGGTCGAGTTACCAGTATGTCTAGGTTAAAGTTCATTCGGGTGGAATCAAGTCCTTACCAGCAACCAATGTACAGACAATATATCTTGTACAAATCAATAAAAATCAGAACTCTATTTGTTAACAAAGATTGGCCCACCATTACAAAACTAAACAAAAATGCAATACTTTTAACAGAAATCAACTGAATGATAACTAGCAACCCTTGCTTACCACGGTGATGAGAGCCTTTTCGGATCTGCAACTCCTCAAAAGGAGGAGGGCCATCACGATCTTTCCCTTCCTGAGATTGCCTCCCAGTCGAACGAGACAAACTAGCGTATTTTCTCTTCATCTGCCATTCTTCAAAGAGTGATTCCACACGACCTCCCAATACAGTCACCTCTTTTGGAGTCAAACATACTAAACCGTCACGCACCACAGCCTTATTCTCTAAACGCACCTACCAACAAGACAGAAACAAATAAATATATATATATATATATATCAAACAATAAAAAGAGAATCGCAATTAGATTTTAATATGCAAAATACCTTAGTACCAGGAACAACATCATTGTTTAACGATGGTATATGAGAGTACTCAAGTGCCGATATCTCAATCTTTCCATCAGTTAGAACAAGTTTCAACACACGTTTACCAGTCGAGCTTCCTAGAAACTCCTCAGCACTACTCTTTGTAACATCCCTAACAGAACTTATCTAACAAACAAAAAGCATTGAAAACAAAAATCAACATTTACAATTGTGAATAAGAAGTAGAAGAAGAAGAAGCAATGTATATACCTGAAGAACTTTGGGACCTTGAAGATGAGAGCATCTGCGTAACTCGGTCGCGTCGGGGAGAGACTTACCCCCGATTAACCTGATATCCATGTTGAGAAGCTCCGCCTCTACTGAATCCACGATGGCGGGTGTTTGATTAGTGGCACCGATGGAGGAGGAGATTTGTGTGACGAGAGGGTTTAAGTAATCGGCTTCTTTGAAGCACCAGCCTCGGTTAGTTAGGGTATTTATCACGGCGGTGTGGGTGTTGCCGGCGGCGGAGGAGCTTGATGTTCCCTCCATTGCTACGATTGATCCTCTCTCGTTGTGCTAAAACTGAAATGTTTATTTTTCAATTTTCTATGTTACCTTTTTTGGTCGTTGTTTTACTACTGAAAAGCCCAAACGGAAAATTAAAATTATATAAGGCCTGATTAAAGTCCAATCTCTTCTTTAAAGAAAAAAATCACCTAATTTTCCTGAATGATTTGTCTACAAACTACAAACCATATAATTTAGATTACGTTCGTTTACATGTTGCAGCAATCTGTAATCAAATACCAGATCGTAGGTTGTTATTCGATTTTCTGTTATATGATTAGTAGGTAGCAAGTCACAGATTATTGTTCGTTCTGATGTTTGATGTCGTGCAACCAGTCAAAATCTTTTTTACGACCTGATCTATGATCTACGATAATAAAACAAACAACATTTAGTTGGTAGTTGGTTGATTGTCTCTGCCACACACAAACGAGCATGACCTAAATAGCTATAGTATTATCAGACAAGGAAGGAGTGGTTAGTGAACATATCTTATCTACATTTCAAAAGTGGATTTTTCCAAGTACACACTGGGAGTATCAATACCAACCTGGTTCACCTCACCTGCCGCGGCTATTACGTTTTCAACTCAATAGATTTAGAACCTAGTTTCTTACAAAAACATTTCACAGCATCAACACTATTTTACTACCATCCATCCATTTGCTAATTAACTCGCATAGCAAAAGGGACCTGTAACTGTTCTTTCACATTTTTCATCAAAAAAAAAAAAAAACATACCACAGCAGGAAAGACCCGACATCTCTAAAATCTTACACTGCATAGAAGAAGGAAGATAAAACTGATTTTCTTGTATAATAAATGGGTAGAGAAGAATGAGAATGAAACATGTTTACAAAATTGATACTATAGAGGCCATTAACCATAAAATTCGAAAATCAAATGCCAAAACCTCTTCTTAAAAGGGGGATGCAAACAAAATGAAACCTCTCTCATACATTAGTAGCTACTTTCCCCGGAACCAACTCCATCATCTCATCATCATCCTCACCCTTGTTCGACACTTGAGACGGACCATTACTCGGCTTCTTACCCACAGTAACAGACTGCTGATAACCAACACCACCACAAATCGTAACAAGCAAACAAACCAAACCAAAGGGAGTCGCATGCTTATCCCAAATCACAACATTAATCACAACAGTCAAAAACTTGTTCACAACCCCCGTCACCGTAAAGGCAGTAGCCGAGATAGCTTTCCTAGCAGCAAACCCAAAGAAGCTAATGAGAAAACCAAACACACACGACAACGCCACAGCGAAAAACGCAACCGGCTCAAACACGTTCCCTCCGTTAGCATTAACCGCCGTGAAAACCTCCGTGTGTTCCCCCGTTAGGAACCAAAAAACAGGCGCAATCATCAACGACAAGAGGTTGTTATACAAAACCAACCCCCAAGTGTTCAACTCAAGAGTCGAAACCATATGTTTAATATAAACCATCTCCGTAGTGATCGTCACGAGATAAGCCAAGGCCCATGAGTAAGCGGTTAGAGTGAAAGCCGAGTCGTTAGCCACGTAGCCAACAGCGCCAGCGAGGATCACCAATAGAGACAAGAACGTGAGTCTCGAGGGACGAGGCTGGCCGCGGAAGAGAGTGTCGGCGACGGCGACGAGGAGAGGGGTTAGAGATCGGAAGACGATGAAGGTGTCGACGTTGGCGTGACGGAGGAGGTTGGTGTTGGTGAAGATGGCGAGGTAGAAGACGAGGGCGGCGGGGAGGAACTTCTTGGCGGTGGACCAGGTGAAGGCGTCGTGGTGGAGGAAGCCTAGCTGCCCGAGGAGGTAGACGCCGGCGGAGGAGGTTAGGTATTGGAGAGCGGTGAGGAGGCCGGGGTAGTTGAAGTAGGTGATTGCGAATTTGTTGATGACGGCGAGGAGGCTGGAGCAGAGTGCGTAGCCGATTACGAGGCTGCTTGTTGCGTAGTATTGTTGCTTGCTCGAATCGGATCGGGACATTGTTTTTTGATTTGGAGAGATTTGGATTGGAGAAAGAGAGAGAGAGAATGGGATCTGGATCGAGAGGAGAGAGTTTGAGTTATTAAGAGAGGAGGAAGGAAAGCGACGACTTACAGACAGTGTCGAACGGGTTTGGCTTTTGCCTGTGGCTGTAAATGTTTTTAACCTAGTCTTGACGTTACTTTGAGTTAAAAAGCTGGTGTCAATTTGGTCGAATGGCCATTAATGGAAGGGAAGTTAACAAACAATATGATTTTTTTGATAAACAAAATCAAATCAAATCAAATCAAATCAGATCATTCATTTTTTCTGATCAACGAAATCAGATCATTCTAATCAACAGAAAATACACAGCTATGAAGTATATTATATGTATACATGTAGTATCATCAACTTATCTGTTTTTTATTCACATAACAAAACTAGTGTTAGTGTAGGATGAATGCGCCAAGCCACCACTAGAGAAGCTAGTAGCTACGAGTACAAGTCAGCCCAAAGCAACTAGCTTCTATTCCCCTTGACATTGGATATATAGATGGAGAATCAATCGATAGTAGTAGTTTGCCAATCTCTCTAACTAAATAGGATCAAAATTTTGGCAAAGAACCTAAATATCTGGAGCTTGACAGTTGAATGTAATCTCTAGGAAGATCATCAAAGAACACCTCGCAAGTCTCTATAAAATTTTACATGTATATAATCCATTATCTAGATTTGAAGTATTGTTTTTTTCCCCTATAATTTTAATTTCGAAACTTGAAGAACTTATTTATAAATTGCTAGGTGTTTTCCTGCAATAATAATTTTTTAAAAAGTTAAGTTATATTTAAAATGAAATTTATTAACATTAGATATTTTATTATTTTGATTAATATTTAACATAAATTTGACCTAATTAAACACAAAAAAATATTTTTTTATTTTAAATTATATTTAATAATATATCTGTAATATATTTAAAATTCGAATATAAATTTTTTTAATCTATTTATTTTGGTAAAGTGTATTAAAATCTATTTACTAAAAAATTCATATAAAGATGATATAGTTATTAAAAAATATAACTAAACAATATTTGTAAACTTTATCAATATCTAAAAGAAACTAATGATATTATGATTAAAAATTATTAATTTTTAAACATATGTAGAAAATTTTGAAAATATTAATAATAAAAACTGTATATTATAAAATTAAAATTAAATAACATTTTGAAATTTATAATACATATTTCAATATATTTATTTTAAGTGATGCTTCGATTTATGAGTTATTACCATATTTTAAGAATGTTATCAAAAATATCAATATTAAATGAAATGTAATGTATAACCTATTCTCAGATTTTATAAAATTTACCAAAAATATATATATCAGTAATAAATGTAATAGTCTAATGTCATATTTAGCTAGAAATATGTCATCAATTTAAGTCATGTCATTATTCTTTTGTAAAAATAATTATAGAAAAATATGTGGCAAATTACTAAGCAAATAATATATATGAAATTTTATTTTTAAATGATTAAAAGATTTTGGATACGTACATTCATATATTTTCTTTTGGCGATATCCAATCATATTTATTTCATTCTATACAATATTTCCCTATGGGATCTGAACCTATAATCCTTTTTATTTTAAGAAATAACCTTTATTATTATTCTATGTTCTTTGTTGTCTAAGATCCAAGTGATTCATGCTCTTTGTAATGGGGAGATCCATGAAAATCTTCAAACAAAAGAGTGTTCAGGCTGGACTATGACCAATAGGCCTTTGTATTTGTCAAAAAGAAAAATCCAGTCATTGTCATTTGATGTAGCAGATGAGACTAAGGAACATTCATGTAATAATTATTTTTATTTTGATCATGAAAAAAAAATGATTTTGAATTATTTTATAAATTATAAATATAAACTAGGTGTTGTGCCTGCATATGCGGGCATAATTTTCTTACGAATATTTATTAGTTTTTTTGTTTTATTAATAAAATAAAATTATAAGTTATTTTTATAGTTTTAAAAAACCTAAATTAAACATTAAAATATTTTATTTGAATTTTCATCTAAATCTATATGCTTATTATAGTGTTGAAAAATATCCACATAATAAAATATTTTTAAAAATATATTTATATTTTTTCTTAATATTAAATTATTTTAGAACTTACATTTATTTTTCATAATAAAAAGATTATTTCCAGATAACAATATAATATTTTATAAGATATCTTATGTTTTAAATATGCATGAATGTGGATAATTATCGTATTAATTTATCTAAGATAATAACATATTAATCTAATTTTATTTTTTAAATTTCGTTTTTAATTATAAAATTAGTTATATATAAAAATTTCTTTAAGAGTAAAATAGATATTAACCGCTCTAACTTTTAACAAGAGAGCTCCGTTGCGAAAAATCAATTGGTAAATAATAATATAGATTTAATTTAGAGAAGGGAAACTCTAATAAAACTAAAAGGTTCCTATATTAGTGAGTGAATTTCCATTTTTACCTAATTAATAAATATCGCGTATTTATCTTTAGCCTTGAGGTGAAGTAATGTTTGCGTGAGGGTTTCAGATTCCGATCAAAAAAACACTCTCTCATCTCCCGAAATCGAAATACCCCACAGAGACAACAATCACTAACGTTATGGCGGCCGTAGGAGTCGAGACGAGGCGTCCGGAGACAGCGATGGAGGAAACCTGCAACGTCAAGGGAGCGGCGAAACAAGGGGAAGGGCTTAAGCAGTACTATCTCCAGCATATCCATGAGCTCCAACGCCAGCTCCGACAGAAAACCAACAACCTCAATCGCCTTGAAGCTCAGAGGAATGAACTCAATTCTCGAGGTCCTCCTTTTTTTCTTCATCATTATCCCTTAACCCTAATTTCGGATCCGTTGTTAAAAAGGCTTTCGATTTCGTTTTCCTTGAAGTTTAGGTTATTAATAATTAAAAAGTTTCTAAATTGTTATGATGATTGAGATTTTTTTTTTTTGATCTGAAAAGTGGTTGAGTTCTGTGTTGGATCTTTTATAGAACTGTGCCTAATGTTGTGTGCTTATGAGCTTTGATTTTAAGCAGAATTAAGCTTCCTTTATTCAGATTCAGTGATTCTGTTTGATCCCTAAGGATGTAGTAATGTATTCTCTGTGACTCTGTTGTTAGGGTGAGGTGATAGCAATCAGTGCTAGCTGCGTAATTTAGTTTGGTTCATTGTTTAAGTTGTATGGCTTAGTAACACATTTAAACATACATAACAGTGCGAATGATCAGAGGTTTAAGCTTTAAGGTTACATATCGTAACAGCATTATATTTAAGCTTTAAGGTTTTTTACTATTCGTTATAATTTCTAGTTAATTTTAGTGTTGAAACTTTCTTGACACTTTTTTTTTATGGAAACAGTGCGAATGCTCAGAGAGGAGTTGCAGCTCCTTCAAGAGCCTGGGTCCTATGTGGGTGAAGTGGTTAAAGTGATGGGGAAAAACAAGGTCTTGGTTAAGGTATTGACATAACGTTAATTGTGGCCTTGTATTGTTTTTGTAATCTTGTGGACATAGCGATTAGTAAAGCTTGAACGAATCATTTAACAGGTTCATCCTGAGGGGAAGTATGTTGTTGATATTGACAAAAGTATTGACATAACGAAGATCACACCATCGACAAGAGTTGCTCTCCGTAATGATAGCTATGTTCTTCACCTGGTTCTGCCTAGTAAAGTAGATCCGCTGGTCAACCTTATGAAGGTTGAGAAGGTTCCTGACTCCACTTATGACATGATTGGTGGTCTTGACCAGCAAATTAAGGAAATCAAGGAGGTATGCTTACGTAGTGAAAGAAAAAACAAAGCTAAAAGTCTGGTTTATTCATGGCTTTTGATAATTTATATATTCTTTACCTTTTCGTTAGGTCATTGAGCTGCCTATCAAGCATCCTGAATTGTTTGAGTCTCTTGGGATTGCGCAGCCAAAGGTACACATGCCTGTCAAAGCTTCTTCTCTATACTCTAGCAATGTTAAGTGCATTGTAGATGATTTTGTCTTCCTTTGTTTCTAGGGTGTGTTGTTATATGGTCCACCTGGAACTGGAAAGACACTTTTGGCTCGGGCTGTGGCACATCACACTGACTGTACGTTCATCAGAGTTTCTGGTTCCGAGCTGGTCCAGAAATACATTGGAGAAGGTTCTAGAATGGTCAGAGAGCTTTTTGTGATGGCAAGGTTTGCACATGCTAACCCCTAAAGTAGATATTTCAAGCATTCTGAATAGTAGTGGGTAGGAAAAGATGGAATTATTGACAAGTTTAATCTTATTACATGACTGCACTTATTAAGCTCAAATGGACATGTAGTGTTAACTATTGAATAGAATATGAAGAACATGATCTTTGTCGGTACTATTGTGTTGACAGTCTCGCGGATGAATATCTGTTATAGAGGGCATTGTGCATACCATTTAGGCCACAGTACTAAATTGTATGTTTGGAGCAAACAGCAAAGTACACATACATGAGATGGTTTTGTTGAAAAATACTATTGCTGATGGTTTATGGTTTTCAGGGAGCATGCACCATCAATCATCTTCATGGATGAAATCGACAGTATCGGGTCTGCTCGTATGGAATCTGGAAGTGGAAACGGTGACAGTGAGGTGCAACGGACTATGCTTGAGCTTCTCAATCAACTTGACGGATTCGAAGCATCAAACAAAATCAAGGTACGTGTTAAAGGTGTTAAGGAAACATGTGATATCGTTGTCTGAAACTTGTAGACAAACTCATTTATCTTCTTAAATGACTGTTGCAGGTTTTGATGGCAACAAATCGTATTGATATTCTGGATCAAGCTCTCCTCAGACCAGGAAGGATCGATAGGAAAATTGAATTCCCCAATCCTAATGAAGATGTAATGCTTATGCTTATTTTTCATATAAAGGAATTGCTTGAGTTGATAGGTTGGGTAGAACATGTTTGGCTAATGTGTATGTTTCAAAAAATGTGTTGCAGTCACGTTGTGATATCTTGAAGATTCACTCGAGGAAGATGAATTTGATGCGTGGAATTGATCTTAAAAAGATTGCAGAGAAGATGAATGGTGCGTCGGGTGCTGAATTGAAGGTAAAGTATTTTTTGTTCCTATACTTCTCTCTGTCTCTCTCTACAGTTTACCTCTCTCTCTCTTATACTTTTTGGTTGTTACGGTCAGGCCGTGTGCACGGAGGCAGGCATGTTTGCACTGAGGGAGAGGAGGGTACACGTGACACAGGAAGACTTTGAAATGGCGGTGGCGAAGGTAATGAAGAAAGACACAGAGAAGAACATGTCTCTGCGTAAGCTCTGGAAGTAGGGAGTCTCTTTGCTGTCTAGACCTGAGAAGTCCGCCTTTCTTTACTGTCTGTTGGTTCTTTCTTAAATCTTTTCGTTTTGTTGTCTAAGCATTCTGAAAACAGAGTTGTTTTTACAAACAATAGTTAATCTTTCAAATGGTCTTAAGACATCAGTTTCGATTTTAACAAACAAGTTTTTTTCACATTATATAAATTGTTTCCCCGACTTGGTCATCAGATTTGAGAAGATCCAAAGACCCGATAAAAACCAATCTGAACTTGAACCGAACATTCGAACACGCATGCATAGGTGAACAATTGAGGGGAGTGTGTACGCAGATGAACCAACAATTGTTTGAACCAGATTCTGGTTAAGGCAACACCTCGAAGTCATGTATTCAAAAAAAAAAAAAAAGGTAAAAGATTTGTCAATAAATACGAGACAAAATAGATCAAGAGTATATGTTTTTTTGCCAAAAGCAACGTATAATGAGGAATCTCGAATTTAATAAGGGAATAAATACATTTTTTCAAAAAATTATGAGTCAGGGAGGCATATTCTCTCGTGCCCCTATTTTTTTTAAGCTAATCTCTTATGGGCTCACAAGATCTCTTATACCCCTATTTCATAATTCTTGTTTTTGATCAAAATCCAAACCCCCAATTAAATCATTCCCGATGTTCAAAACTAAACAAAAACCCCCCCAATGGATTAGTGAACCCTTGGGCAAAGATTTAAATTCTATAGTGATCAAATTTCGAAAAAAATATATTTTAAAATCGTTTTTAATCATATTTTGATGATTTTCGTGAAAATATCAAAATTTAATTTTTTGAATTTTGAAATATTTTTATCAAATTCTATAAATCAAATAAAAAATATTCACGTTTTCAGATTAATTTTATGATTTTTCGTTTGACATATAAAATTAAAAGAAGAAATNATATTTTAAAATCGTTTTTAATCATATTTTGATGATTTTCGTGAAAATATCAAAATTTAATTTTTTGAATTTTGAAATATTTTTATCAAATTCTATAAATCAAATAAAAAATATTCACGTTTTCAGATTAATTTTATGATTTTTCGTTTGACATATAAAATTAAAAGAAGAAATGTGTCCTAGAAAGATTAGAGAATGAAATTTAGGGGCTATAGAGGAGATGCCTCGTCAGGGGTCCGCGTGGAATCTCTATAATATTATTTGAGAAGTCAGTTTCGTACGTGTCGCGCTCACGTTAACTCTCGCGAAGGTTGATTACATAGATACCCTTAATGAATTGTAAGATTTTAAGATTATTATTAAAAAAAAAATTATTTAGTTTTTTTAATATTTTTCCAAATAACATATATAACAAAAAGGAAATATTTCTAAAATTTTAAAACAAATTTTAAAACGAAATTATATGTATATAATATGACTTTATTAAAAAGGAAAGTTCACAAAATAGTAATACCCCCATTAATATATACATAATATGACTTTATTAAAAAAGAAAGTTCACAAAATAGTAATACCCCCATTAATATATATTTTTAAATAACATAAAATATATTTTAAAAATAATAAAAATATATATGTTGATAAATTTTCAAATATTTTTTCAGAAATTAACATATAATTTGATAAATATTATGAAAACACATGTATATTTAAAGGATAAATAAAACTAATTTAATTTGACTTAACTAAAATAAAGAGTAAATAAATATTTATGAAAATATATGTATATTTAAGCGATACATAAAAATAATTTGATTTGACTCAACTAAAATAAAAAGTAATTATACTTCAATTTTAATTTAAAAATATATTTAACTCAATATACTCATAAAATGAATGACTCGACTAATCTATTTTGTATCCAAAATTAAAATCCAACTAAAATAAGAAAATATAATTTATTATAATAATAATAAGAACAATATATTTAATTTTCTACATATAAATTAGAGGTTGATTCAAAGCATATTAAAAAATAAAAATAAAATATTAACCAATTACAATTTAATTCTTTTGTAGAATTTATATATATGCATGAGACTTCAAAATATTATTATTATTATATTTATTTATGTAATTTTGAATCAAACATTTTAGCTTATTATTTATTTCATTTTAAGCACAAGATATATTAAGTTATACATAATTAAACCATAGTATATTTACATATCTAAGAATATATTTACATATCTAAGACAATAACCAACCAAAATGAAAATAAGAAAATTAAACAGAGTTTTATTATATTTAGAATAAAAAACATTATAGCTGAACTCGAAAATAGATATTATTGGAATATATCAAATTGATAACCAAACCGACTATTGATCCAAAAAATAATTAAATCGACAATATCATATCCAAAATCATATGTATAATTAGAATAATATACTATTTATTAATATAAATTATACATATAAATTGATTCAAAAGTAAAACTAAATATCAATCAATTCTTATAAAAATTTACTTTTATGAATATACATACCCGTGCATGAGCACGGGAAAATCACCTAGTAAAAGCTAAAATGAATGTCACGGTTATAAGAAAAGCGTCAGACCTCAGCTTGAGAAAACCCTTTACAAAAACTATTTCTCCTTTTTAAAAACCCCATCTCTCTACCCCAAATCTCCTTCTCGCCGCTTCTTTCTCTAAAAGGACGATTGGCAACACGTTTACGGGGACGTTACAGAGAAACTGCTAAGGGTCAACGCCCATCATAGCATTTTCCACTATCTCGCACACGTGTGACGAATAAGCATAACTGCTATTTGCATTCCTGCGTTGTAACGCTGCATAACCAAGAGTTTGACAGCAAGATTATTTACAAAAATCAATAAAATAAAATGTTTTTAAGTTTTGTAATTTTTGGTGATAACTGTTTTTCAGTTTCAGTCAAAATCAACAATAAATATTATAATATGCTTTGAATATTCTTATATTCAGATTTTAATTAACTATTTAAAAATTAAACTTTAAAATATTTTGTTAACAAAACCATACTTTCTCCATTTTTTATATTTAATGTTTTACAGAATTTGTTTGTTTTAGATGATTTGACGTTTTCAATTTTCTATATAAAATTTAATAATAATTAATGTTAAATAAATAATGGTATTATAGTTTTTTTTTGTTGGTTAAATTGTGATTAAGTAAACAATTAACGATGCTTTTGTTTAAAATGAAAATAATTAAATATTTTTAATATATACGTATAATCCTAAAACGTCAACTATAAAAAAAAATAGAAAACATATTTTATGTTATAATATATTTTATATATTCCTTAATTGAAGAAAGCTCTATAAATACGTACTAGCATATAAATTGTGTTTCGCTTTTTAATAATTCTGACTATTTTTATGGTCAGTTTTTTTTTTTAAGTTTTCTAATAATTATAAATAAAGATTGTTTCTTATTTTTTATTTTATGTTTTTATAAGTAATGGAGAATAATTTCTTGAAATTTTATTTGTTACTAATTAAATATTTTATTTACAATTCGTAAATAGTTCGAATTTAAATTTTTCATTTTTTTATTTTCTAATAATTTAAATGATGTTCTGTATTTTGTAATAGTTTTAATTTTAAATAAATTAACTTAAATATTTGTTTTAATAAAATCATGAAAATATATTTTTCTTAGCCTTGTTCAAAGCTTACAGTTCACGTTCACAGCTCACAGTTCTCCGCTCCTGCTTCAGCTACTTTTAGCTGCCCTTCCCTTCTCCGCTTTGCCAATCACGCACTAACATCTTCTCGACGCTCACACCTCACCTGATTCCGTTAACATGGTATACTCACAGATCCGTTGACATCTACGTTGTTTCTGTGTATATATCCTAAAATTGATCGTTAATATATTACTGCTCAGGCTCTACCAAACCAGCAAACCGTAGATTATCCTAGCTTCAAGCTCGTCATTGTTGGTGATGGAGGCACAGGAAAGACAACTTTTGTCAAAAGACATCTCACTGGAGAGTTTGAGAAGAAATATGAACGTTAGTGTTTGTTACACATATTTATTTGTTCATGACTTTAATTGATAATCAAATTGTTTTTGTCTTTTGCAGCTACTATTGGTGTTGAGGTTCATCCTTTAGATTTCTTCACAAACTGTGGCAAGATCCGTTTCTACTGCTGGGACACTGCTGGTCAAGAAAAATTCGGTGGCCTTAGAGACGGTTACTAGTAAGTTCTTCCCCTTATATAGAAGTGTTGCTTAGTTTTAGCTAATGTATTGATTTGTTCTTTTTTTTTCAAAATTTCCTTGTAGCATCCATGGTCAATGTGCAGTAATCATGTTCGACGTAACAGCACGTCTCACATACAAGAACGTTCCCACATGGCACAGAGATCTATGCCGTGTGTGTGAGAACATCCCTATTGTTTTATGTGGGAACAAAGTCGATGTGAAGAACAGGCAAGTTAAGGCAAAGCAAGTGACGTTCCACAGGAAGAAGAATCTTCAGTACTATGAGATATCTGCAAAGAGCAACTACAACTTTGAGAAACCTTTCTTGTACTTAGCGAGGAAGCTTGCGGGTGATCCTAACCTTCACTTTGTTGAGTCGCCGGCTCTTGCTCCCCCTGAAGTTCACATTGACGTTGCTGAGCAGCAGAAGAATGAGGCTGATCTTATTGCAGCCGCTGCTCAGCCTCTCCCAGATGATGATGATGATGCTTTTGAGTAAAAAAAGATCTAAGAATCTGGTAGCACTTTGATTCTTCTTTTGTTGTGCTGCTGATGTCACTCTATATATATATAATTCGAGTCTTTTAAAACTAAATTGATAAAAAAAAACAGTTATTTGTTTGTGTTCTGCACTCGATACCATGAATTTATCAGCTTAACCTTGTATCAATGTGTCCCCCCTCTGCTCACTAGTAGTTGTTGTCAGACGTTTGTATATTTCACACAAAGTTTTTTTTTATTTTTTTTATTTTTTTTTCACACAGAGTTGGTGAAGCAGTCTCGTATGGATGGAGTTTGTGCTCAAATATCATCTGATAGATTTTTTTTGTTGTTCTTACTCTTTAGGAGAAATATTTCACACATGTTATTGCATGCTTAAGAGTGGTAAATGGATTTAGTTTAATTAGCAGAACGGGGCGCTGTTGATAGAGTAGACATCTCCCATAGATGATTTGTCCTAAAGATGAAGGATAAGGCATGTTTGTTGCCATGAAAAAAAAACAAAATTTCAAACATTTACCTAACATTAAGAAACATATTAGCATGGTATGATTTACCCTTGTTACAAACAAGTTTATCGAAGTTTCGTACGTACAATCTGTTTTATTTATATGGAGGTTGAGAGCCTCAAAATATTGAACAGTGAAGATTTGGACTGCACTAGTAGTCTTTTCTTATCCCAATGTATAGAATGATCTTACCTGCTCTCCTTTTCGATATGCAAGTCCTTTGAAATTCATTTTTTCCCCTTCTTGAGGTTGCATGTCTTACTTTCTCTTATGGTAGTTATTTCGTGTATTATGCTTGGAATTCAATGTAATGACAAATAAAATTCTCACTGGTCGTTTTGTAACTTTTGTTTTTGGTAGATTGCTGGTGTAAGTGGGATTACTCCAATGCTGATGCCATTTTTTGAAGAATCCTGAGGACAACATAGGTGACAAACAAACCAACAATTTATTGTTATCTTACTTTTTTTTTCTCAGAAATGATTATGTTTACCCCATATTGAAGTATGTATTCTATCCATACAAATGACATAACTGCTACATCTTCCTGTTTACTGGTTTGTTTTCCAAGATCTTGAAACTGTTATCGTTTACAACTCATATTCTGAATATAACCTAACATGAAAATTTGCAATTAAATTTGTGTGCAGATAAAACCATTACTCTATGCCAATGTTTATCCGTATGATATTATTATACTTCTCAAGCAAAAGCTCGATGTACTTCAGGCTAACCAACCAAATTTGATACAGAGAGCCCATATAGCACTACTTATATTTGGGGCGTCAGCAATCCCACTATAGTATTAAGTATGTTTCTTGGACTAATAATGTGTTAACATAACAAAAGAAGGGTATGAAAAGTAACATACAAGTTTTGCATTATAGACAACCGTCAATGAAGGGAGAGAAATGGCATGAATAGAGACTACAATCGAGAAAATAATGGTTTGTCCTTTTGATGCTTTAAAAGTCACAAAGATGCCGAGGTTTATACTTTATACTATATCCTTTCTTCTAATCAAGAATATTCCCAAAATTTGTATGACCATTTGCATTATCTTTTCTTATAAGCACTATTCTAAAATCTATACTATTAAAGCAGAATCCTAAGGGATTCTGTCCATAGTTTTTGAATTATTTACAAAGATATGCCACTAGCATTTAATTTTAATATAATAATTATTTATTTAAACTAAATAACTAAATCACTCCTATATTTATGGTAATTACTAATTTTATGATTTTGTGTTTAATAATAATTTATTTTTATGCAATTTATACTTTCTTTTAATTTTAATATCTTATTTTCATGCATAATATCATTTAGCGATCAAAAATTAAATATTATTATTTACTATCTCATAATATGGATATACCAATTCAATTTTTTAAATAAATTACCTTTTAGATATTTAATAAGTAAAAATGTAAAGTAATCATAGGTTATTAATAATGAAAAAAAGATGTTGTTATATGAATATTTTTCTTCTATTACCATTGTTTCATTTTCCAAATAAAAATAAATTCATTAAATTCTAAGAAATTACAAAAAATCAATTTTCTTTAATTTTAAAAGTATGTGTTATTTACTATTTTTTTAAAAAATGTTATCAGTTTTTATGGGACTTTTAGCAGATCTACAAATATTATATTTCGAATTAATAGAGGGTTTTTGCATATTTACCAGTTTTATCAAAATTTTAATTAATAAAATTTTATTAAATCTTACTGGACTATACAAAAATTGTTAGATATACCGGTTCAACTATGGTCTAAATCAGATATGAAAACACACAATACGTGAAAATCTAACAAGATAATAGAACACTTTAATATTAGTAGAACAATTTTTTGTGTTAAAATAAAATTTATTAATTCAAATAAATTTTATCAAAAAAATATAATAAACCCGCGCTTTAAAAGCGTGGGTCAAAATCTAGTTAATTCTTTAAATCAAAAGCGGTAATCGTCAAACTATTAGTAGCAATGATCATGGAGAGAGGGATAGATCATGAAAAACCCAATGTTCCCACGTGTCTTATGCCATGACAATCTGTGCTGGATCAGTAAAAAGATAACAGTAGTGGTTTATTGTTGCCCCACAGTTTGAAAATCTTCATCAACCGGTTGGTTAAACCAAAATAAATAAATAATCAGAAGAAAATTGGATATAACCTTTTCTTTTAGCACCAAATTTGGATATAACTTTGGTGCAATTAATAACCACCGAAAACACGAAAAAAATGAGAAGACTAGAAACGAATAAAACCAAGAGATATTCTATCGAATGAAAAAATGGATATTCGAAAGAGAAACTTTGAGAATATTCTCTTTTTTCTTCTTATTTTCTAACATGTTTACTATATGATTCTCTAACCGCATCCTCCCTCCTCTGTTCTTCATCTTAATTTTCCCAGAAAACAAAGAAAAAAAAAAAAGACAAAATGAAGTTTGGTAAGAGTCTGAGCAATCAGATCGAGCAGACACTCCCTGAATGGCGTGACAAGTTCTTGTCTTACAAAGACCTCAAGAAGCGTCTCAAACTCATCGCCTCCTCCAAATCCGGTGATCGTCCCGCCAAACGTCTCCGACTACTAGACTCCTCCTCCTCCTCCTTCGCTTCCTCCGGCGACATAATGTCGAAAGAAGAGATGAGTTTCGTCCAATTGCTAGAGGACGAGTTGGAGAAATTCAATAATTTCTTCGTCGAGAAGGAGGAAGAGTATATCATCAGATTAAAGGTTAACAACAACACACAATTAATTAATTAATAATAATAAATCAAATCTTTTTTTTATAGTGATTAAATAAAAAATAAACAGGAATTGAGAGATAGGATTGATGATTCGAAGGAAAGGAAAGAGATTGTTGATCTCCACGGAGAGATGGTTCTCCTCGCGAACTACAGTGCACTCAACTACACAGGATTAGTTAAGATACTGAAGAAGTATGACAAGCGAACCGGTGATCTCATGCGTTTGCCTTACATCCAGAAAGTTCTACAACAACCTTTCTACACTACAGATTTGTTGTACAAGCTTATCAAAGAGTCAGAGGCAATGCTTGATCGCTGCTTCTTCCACGAAACTCCTTCTGAGGAGGATGGAACAGAGCATAAGTTCATGGAGAGCCTACACATGAAGAGTACAGTCGCTGCCTTGCGTGTTTTGAAGGAGATCAGGAGCAAAAGCTCTACGGTGAGTGTCTTCTCGTTGCCGCCGCTTCAGTTAAATGGAGTTGACGAGACGTGGAAGAAGATTCCGTTGATGGAACAAGAAGCCAAATAGAGAGGGACACATTAGCTAACAGATTGTGAAAAGACAAAAAAAAAGAGAATTATCAATGTGCACACACAAAAGAAGAAGGCAAGAGATACGTTTAAGATCTTTTCTGGACATGTTTGGGTCTTTCTTTGAAGTCATTAGCGGTTGTAACTCTTTTTCTGTGTTGGGTGTAGTAATTAATATGGTAATACCAATTCAGATTTGTTACTAGTTATTGTTAAATCAAACATGCTAATGTCCTAACTCTAGACCCTTAACCATAACATTTCAAGACTAGTAAGTTAATTAGCCACAAAACCAAAAGGAAAACCAATACAATACAAGAAACACAGATAGCAGATAAGTGTATCAATTTGATGTCATTACCATATATTACAGCAAGCTTTCGAAGTACAAAGAAGCTTGGGACGGTATTTGATTTGGTAATTGCATAAACAAAACTTCAGGTCACACGGAGACCCCATCATACCGAGCAAACAATTCGAGACTGACTTATAGAGTCAAGTTAAAACAACACAACAAATACAAGACCAACCCCATAATCCAAATATGTAGAATATATATTCTGACTCATAGAATCGTTTTGCATACAGAAAACTAAGTATCTCAATTAAGACAAAAGCCGGTTCTGTTAGACTCAAAAGAAAATGATGGAGACACCCATCATGAAGCATCCCACGGACATCCAAGGGCTCAAACGCTCACCTGTTACAAGTGACAACAAAGCAAATGTTTAAAAAAAAAAACAGAATCACTGTTAACTGCTACTCTGAAAACTTTTGACTCTACTAATGTACACATCATGCATACTATGCTTAAATAGGAACATCACCAAAGTATTTCAAGCACTAAAACCAGATGATATCTAGAGGGTCAAAAAAATGAAAGTTCAGTTATTAGTAGCTGCATTGGTTGCTAACTCTAATTCTTCCTAGAAAGCCTAACATATTAAGGACAAAGAAGATTGTTGTTTTCTAGAAAGGAATTGGGAAACAGAATAAGATCTGAGCTCCAAGGGGAGGGAGTACCTATTCTAGCAGCTTTCCAAAAGAATCCTCGAAACCTGCAAAGACAAAGCCAAAATAATCGGTTTAAAAGCTCCAAATGTGTTATAGTGAACCAACCAATACGAAGTGAGTAAAGAGGGATGTGTCAGACAAACCCAGTTTTCTGCTCAAGAATGGCAGGGAACTGCATCTTGAGATAAGTGCATGTGCAGATCACAAGCAGCACCACCGTCAAAAACGAATGGAAATTGAACAACGCTGACTGAAACATTAAACAACAACTCTCTTATTACCTCAAATCACTTGAAAGAAAAGAAAGTAACAAAAGCCAAAACTAGTGTTACCATTGTTGTATCTGATGATTATCAGTGAAGAAGAAGCACTTGTGAAAGCCCAAATTTTGCCTCCTTTCAATCTGAAACACAAAACAATGATGGAAACGAACGAAACGAATCAAGAACCTATCAGTTTTACACCATAGGGATCTGTGGAAGAAAAAAAAATCAAGAGGAGAGCTAGTACCGATGGCAATTAATTAGGGTTTCGAAGCTTGAAGGAATCTAGCGAACGGATCAGCGATCAAGAGACGACGGAGCGTTTGCGAGAGGGTTAATTCTGGTTCTCCCGGGTCTAACTTTATTCGGATCTTCGCTACGGGTAGAGTTCTTTAGTGAAAGTAAAGCCCATTAAGGCCCATTATACTCCAACAATTAGCCAGTCTGGCATCACCTTTTTACACAAAAGAAGGCCTGAGTTGGGTGCAAAGAGATATGACACGATTGGTTGAGTATTTGCCTTTTCGATTTTCTTTCGGTGTATCAAATATTATTCCCTCATACATTTTGCATTTTTTTTTTAAAAACTAGGGCCGGGCCGCGCTTCGCGCGGCGAGTTGATTCGTTAAGTATTACACATGAACTGTTTTCAGTTTCAAAAATGCAATTATTTATTTTCTAAGATATTATTTATGTGAAATCGCTTCATATAGAATTTGAGTAAATTGAACCTCAAAATCGTTACAGTTAAATAAATTGTGTAATAGATGATTTATATTTTGATTTTTATAAAATATGTATCATTTATTCTCTCGTTTTCGAAAAAAATTTGTTAAACAAAATGAATCATATTTCGTTTAAATTAAAAACTGATTTAAAAATTTATCTAAAACAAAAAAAATACTACACTATATTATTTTATATCTACTTAATATTTAAAATAATATTGATGTGAAATTTATTAATAAATGCTTATAAATGGATTAGCATTTGTTTGTATTCCATGATATATAATTACTATAAGATTAATTATATATCATGGAAAAAAACATTGCTTAATTATATTATTTTGAGAAAAATAATTACACTACTGTTACTTATTGTCATTATTTCTAGATAATTATGTAATTTCTGAAAATAAAACCTCAAAAGAATCCTTTTGGATTAAAAATAACTGGTACCAAAATTGATACTAAGATAATTATTATTTTTAACCGAAATTTTAAAATTTTATGACGTCTTTTTAATCTTTTTTTTGATATTTTTAATATTCCTTTTTTACCTCATTGGATTGTTGGTTTTGGGTTTCATCAAAGGTACAATGGTCACTTTTTCTCCTAAAAATTGTTTTGTGTGTTTAAATTAGACCGGTTAATTTAATCTATTGAGCAATTTTTAGATATTTTAATCAATGTAGTAAAATCTGTTGACACAGCTTTAAAGTTTTCTTATAAATTTTATGATTCACTATTATAGATATCATATTTAATATAATATTTCACATGGTTGTTAAACCCTTATAATATCAAATTTTGGTTCTTCGGTTGTTAGGTTAGAAAGGATATATCTATTATATAAAGGATACCCAGGGTTGGTATGCGCTACGTGCATGATATTGTCATTTTTTATGGTTTATGATGTTTATTGGTTGTATTTTATTATCGGAACATCTTGTGTGTGTGAAAGTATATGGTGTTAGATAATTTTGTTATATAGTTTATATTGTGGATGTGCATAGTTTCTTTTTAATCAAATCTAATTTGGTGGTAACAATTGTATGTTCAATGTTAGTTTTTCTTTTAGTGGGTTTTAATCAAATTTAAAAGGTATTTACATTATTTTTTCTTGGTAAAATTTCCTTTCTCTTTTGTAGGGATTATGTCTAAATTCAATGTCTAGCTGATATTGAAATCAAGAAATGAGCCTTCTTGCATGAAGAGGTGGTTTCATAATTATTCAGGGAAGAGCAAAAGCGATCAAAGCTTTGAACATTTTTTAAGATGCCCATGGGGTTTTGTTACTTGGATTCAGTAAAGCAATCGGACAGTTTGATATTTGATATATTTCTTTCTTATTTTATATTTTTGGTGTTTGTAGTGACTTCTCCAAAAATCATTAAAGTTGTCTAAATTTTCTTTCTAATTATATGTTTTGATGCTTTTGAATTGGCCTCCATGAGTGAGTGTGTACATAACCTTTTGTAGCTCGGTTCAGTTGAAATTAAAAAGAGGTTTCTTACAAATAGTAGCAAGTGTCACGAGCTCATGTATATCAGGTGATGGGCAAAAAAAACAAACAAACAAAGAGGCAGCAAAACAAATGCAGTGATGTAGTCATAAAATGACACTGCATGATAATGTATCCAAGGAACCACATAAATGTCTCTTCCGAGTCTGAACCACATTGTCCAGAAATTGGCTAATCAGTCAGCAAGTGATGGCGGTTTCACTTGGACCAAGCGACTACGTCAATCTATGATTGGGAATCTAGGTACAACTCTAGCTGCTTAGATATGTAGTAGCTCTAAGATGTAGATTAAAAGTTGGGAAAAAAACCTGGCACCATCCTTCTCTAGATTTCGATTTATTTTTTAAAAACCATCTTCCCACATTTTAAACACTCTCCTAAAGTTTTCTCTGCTTAACTTTCTGAGCTTACAGAGTCCAAAGGGCAAAGCTGGAGAAACAGTGTCCCTGTAGCATATAGTAAAGACAAATATTTTAGTTGGGGGACCGAGAAAAAAATATTTACGAATTAAGCAAAAAGAAAAAAGACAGAGAAATGACACACTGCGAAAGTCGGATTCCCACACAAATATAAACATACCATCCTAGAGTAATTTTCAACCACTGAAAGTAGTTTAGTTGTTATTTTTTCTTTAATACATCTTCTACAGATGATTCCCGTTGTATAGATTCAAGCGATAGCTATAGGCCAGCTAGGTAAATCAGAGATGGAGGTACTTGATGCACTAATATAAATTTATGAAACACAATATCAGTCATTACCTCATGGATTCTGAAGTTTGGCAAAAGCTAAGTTGCTCTCTCTCATTTCCCATATTGTTGGCTGGATGGACCAGCATCGCCTATAAAGTCATTCACAATGCTTCCTGAGTTAGTTTACATTTGTTTTGCTTAGGAGTATAATAAATTAACAAAAGCAGAGAAAACATTCACTCAGAGCCATGGTTTCAGAGAGAGAAATAACCATCATTACCGTTTTTCTATATTCTCGCTTCAGGTAAGTCATGCCCATAGTTGGCAGCTGAGCCTAGAGCTCTGAGTAGTGGACAGCACAACTGAGCCACCGAGAAACATCATCTGACATAACTCTATGAAAGATGTGAATTATACGTGCATGTTGATGCATATAAGTAGTATAAAAGTAGAGTTATGTCAGCACAATCTCCATACTCTCCTTGATCTCCTTTATTGTCTCCCCAATCTCACCTTTGAAGACTCCAAACCCATCCCTCAAAGACTCAAACTTGCTTCGCAAAATCTCCTTAGTCTTCATCTCTCTCTCAAGCCTCTCTCTTTGTCTCCTTGCAGTGTTTGCTTGTAAATCATGGAACTTGAGCTTGCGGGTGTTCTTAAGGTAGTCAAAGCCATGCCTAATCTCCTTGTAGCGGAAGGGGCGCCGTCGCAAGAAGGGGGGAGTCGGGTCACGCGAAAGAAGAAGTGAATCTGCTTCAAAGGTTTTGATAGGTAATTGGGCTTTGGACATGGTAATGTCCTTCACGAGAAGCTGTCTAGGGTTCATCGTCCTCCAAAATCAGATCACGTCTACAAACAATATAGGTTTGGATAGGTGAGGCGGGTCTTCGTGAGTAATCTATGCGTCGATCTACAGAAAACGTTACAGAGATTCTTTTGGAAGTTGAGGATTTTGTTTGTGGGCTATTGTTAATAGAAGCTGGAATTAGGTTAAACGTTCAAAACAAACGGGCCAATTAGTTTCTGAAGCCCAAAAAAGTAACAAAATAATTTTAAATCCGACGTGGACTTAATGACCTGTCATCCTATGTGGCAGTGTTTAGAAGGAGGGATACATTACTTTATATAATAGATGCAGACTTAATATAGTTTTTTTTTTCAAATTTTTTTAATTTGAAAGAAAAAGCCTATGTGATTTATCAATTTGCAATAGAAAATGTGATATATGAATGGATAGAAACTTTAAATAATTTAAAATGTATGACACAATATAGGTTACGCAGATAAAATCTAAAAAGCAAGTACCCAAGTGTTTCATTTCATATATCTCAATAATTACTCTATTATAGGAGTTTGAAATATGTTGGGAGTCATTTGCACATGTTTATGAACATACTTCATAAGAAAATATTATTACAAGAAGGCTGCCTAAAAAAGGAAAAAAAAAAGAAGGCTGCATAAAAAGCACACCCACTAGATGCGAATCAAATACAAAGGAGTGAGGAGATATAGGGGAGGACCGAGACCTTCTCCGCGACAGTGACCCCTTCTCTTCTCCACCGTTGAGCTCTCACCGCGCGGGTCCCGCAGGTGAGGTCACAAGAAGCCCATCAATGAGCATATCCCTGGACCCCTCCATTTCTAATCTTTGGACACTTCTACTTTTGGATGCTTCTTTGTTACTTTTCTTTTATTTTCCCAAGTCGTTAAACAGCTTGATTCCAAAGAATCAGCTCATCTATAATTGACGCACACCTTTTCTGCTTCCCTTTTAACCCAACTGATATCGAGGAAGGGATGAATGATAAGTGTATTTCTTTCACTTGTATGTATAGTAATTTGACATGATCATTTTTCAAAGGTCCAGGATTGTCTGCCAATGAAAATTAACGTGATCTTAATAGATGGACTGTATGATGTAAAAGGTTATGCTTGTCTGACATAGACTTGCTCACTGAACGTTCAATTAATTTAATTTGTACTTTAATTCCTTTATTGTACTAAATAAAACTTTATAACATAATAAATTAAAAGCTCACTTTTGCTTATCAGCTTCATATATACAAATATGAACATTATATCCTACACTAATAACAGTATAAATCAATATGCAATCTTCATCTTGTATGTATGTGCATGCCTTTTATGTTATACGAAGGATAGTTTTGTTATGAGGTATCGTACAAAACTGTAAATCATTTATTTGTTGGTTTCTCGCAGTTGAATATAGGCCATGTTATCACTTATCAGCTTAATATACACCAGTTTACAATTTAAGTCAGCATCAAACTATCAAAGACAAAGGAGAAATATAGACCATGTTATCAACTTAGAATGGGACCCAAAAAAAATCAAAGATAGAAATGGTTATGGGCGCAAATCGTCGATTATATCGTGAGCCTTACTGCCTTAGTGCACATGGAATCGTGAACCGTACAATCAAGGGGACACATCCACCCACTTGAAACTTATATATTTACTATTAATTTTGTTTTAGAACAACTTGTATATGTTGAGTTTGTACACATGCATGATCAATGAACAGTGATATATGTACAATGATATACGTACTTAAAGAGTTTACTTTGGGAAAACAAAACAAAACTTAACTAACAGTATGTGCATTTTATTTATATGATACGCCGAGTAATACAGGCCGTGTACAGCCCTTTTTCAAAAAAAAGAAAAAAAAAAAAAAAATACAGGCCGTGTACCATATTTGGTTACTGCCGTCCACTTTTCTCAGTAGATTTTGAGTTAGGTTAGCTTTGTCCTTTTGTGTTAAAAAAAGGTTAGCTTTGTCCTTCTTCGATCAAGCTCAATCTAAACCAACAAATAATAGTACAATGCCTCTGTTTTTATATTTGTTTGATTTCCAAAAATGTTTGTACAAATTAAAGAACAAACTAGATTTTGGACCCGCACATCCGTGCGGGTATTTTTTCATTTTATAAAAATATAGCAAAACTTTTCAAATATATATGATTTACATTCTATTGTTATATATTGTATGATTGTATAATCTTCTAACTTTAATTATTTTATATATTATATATTGTTGTAAGTTTTAAAATAAAAAAATATTCATATATAAGTTTTAAATAATGTATTTGTTGTGAGTTACAAAAGTATATGTTAACATTTTTTGTATAAAAATATTATATGATTTAAAAACTTTAATATGTTTTAAAAGTGAGTGATATTTATTTATTTATTTGAATAAAAGAAAATTTTTAAAATAAAATATTTTCCTTTACCAATTTAATATATTTTATATTCATTTCACATAGCATTTTATTTTAATATAATATAGAATATAACTAAATTATAAAATATAACTATTTTTATTTTTAATTAACATTAATATAGATATTTATATATTAATCACGAAATTAAATAATGTATATTTTATAAAAATATTTAAACTTCTTAGTAAGATCTTGTTAGATATTTTCTCAACAAATTTATTACTAATATCTTATTAATTATTAAAATATTCCTTCAATCATATATATTTGATTGATTAACATAAATAATTAAATATGTCATATTAATGAGATAGTCCAACATGACTTTTTTGTAGTAGATATAAAAGGTACTTCTCTTTTAATAGAGAAGATGATATTCCAGGAACTTTCAGTAGTTCATATGTTGAGAAATCCAAATTTGTTTTAAAGAGAGGAGAAAATTAAAGAAACCTAACGGAGCAGAGAATAATGTTGCACACCAAAATCATAGATGAAAAGTCAAATTAAAAATCATTTTGGTACACAACTTGGAGAAAGAAGCTTATACCAAACAAAAAAAGAAAATCTTGAAGAAAATAAAAAAACCTAACTAATTAACAAAAATAATCAAACTGTCGACAGAATAGTAGACTACTAATCAAACTTCACGTGATAAAAAAAGAAACTAATCGACGGCTGAGATTGTTTCGCCTTCACCTTCCTCTCTTAAATAATCTCACGAGTGTATATAACAAAGCCACCGTCCTCACTCCTCAAGTTCTCATACACAGCTCTCATAAGATAAACCCTACGATTCTCAGAATCCAACTCAAGCGAAGATGCTACTACGAAGCGCGTCGACTCCACTTCTCAACTCATTGGTTCACACCTCGAGTCCAAGAGAATCTCCAATCGAGGCCGTTGAATCTATCCACCAGATCACTCATCCTCTCTTCCTCCTCCTCGTTCTGTTACAGCCCGATGTCCGTCCACTCCAGCGACGAATCCGCGAGGAGGATTAAAAAGACGGCGTCAGAGAGCGATCTACGTCATCTGACGTCGACGAAGCCACCGGCGAGTAAGTTCCTCAGCGGCGGTGCTCTGATGGAAGACGTGGAAGAAGGAATCGGATTCGGGTTAATCCGCACGTCTTCTTACGATGGATTACGCTGGGGTTTGGAGAAGGAGGAGGAGGAGGATGTTACTGAGGTTAGCGGCGGCGGTGGTCGTGGTGGTGGGGTTATCCACGGCGGAGGAAATGGTGATAGATCTGACGGTGAGGATGGAGATGGAGATGATGATAGTGTTACAGATGTTCATTATCGGAAGATGATTGAAGCTAATCCTGGAAACGTGATTTTTCTTAGTAATTACGCTAAGTTTTTGAAAGAGGTTGTTACACTTTTTTTCTCTTTTTTTTTTTTTTTAATTCTCGTGTCTTTGTAGAATTATATAAAACTGAGCGTTTTGATTGATTTGAAATTAGGTTCGTAAAGATTACTTGAAAGCGGAAGAGTATTGCGGGAGAGCTATTCTGACGAATCCTAATGATGGGAATGTTTTGGCTATGTACGGTGAATTGGTGTGGATTATTCATAAGGATTCGTGTCGTGCTGAGTCTTATTTTAATCGAGCTGTTGCAGCTGCTCCTGATGACTGGTGAGAACTCACTAATGCTTTTTTTTTTTTGGGACTTTTTTTGTGTGTGTAGCTTTTTGGGTGTTTATTTGTGTGTGTTTTGTGCAGTTATGTACAAGCTTCGTATGCACGGTTTCTTTGGGATGCTGATGAGGAAGAGGAGGAGGTGGAGAGACATGAAGATGAACTTGAGCCTCAGACTTCTCGAATGAGTTTTTACACTGGTACTTCTCCAATTACGGCCGTGTATTAACTCGTGCTCTCGGCTTCTCCATCCAGTTTATATATTTTTATAGAAGTTAGATAAACGTGTTACGTCTAAGATCTATCTAACCCTTTTGTTTTAATGTGAATTCGTTATTGTTTGCTTCATGGGTGTTTCTCTGCTTCAGTGTTAGAATTTGCATCAGTTGTAGTAGTACCACGTGAAAGAAAAATAATGATTATGGAATAAAAGTTTTGTAACTAAACTGGGGCTGTGTGGATCTATTTCTGAAATTTTCTGTAAGAACTGAGTTTCAGACACAAACGAGTTCAGAGCATCTGTTGTTAGATGAATCTGACTCGTCGCCATACACTAAGTCTATTATAAAGGAGAACAACCATGAAGATGAATGATAGCTTATTATCCTTCTGATACAGGAACCATTTTGGTGCCATGATCATAGTTCATAAGGATGTTCATGAGGTTTAACGACAGGAGAGGTTTAGAATGGTCGTCAGGAGTGCGAGTCAGCACTTTCCCTATTATCAAATCTGGAGAATAAAACCAGAGGTATTATAGACCTTTTAAGTCTCCTTGTAGCTGGGCGCTTGATCTTGCTGCTAAGCTATCCATCATGTCAGATTCCAACAAATGGTCACAAGGGTCGGCACAGGAGTCAGGTTTGAAAGTTCAGCAAGAGCTTGAAATACATTTCTATTTTCTTGAAGCTCCTCAATCAACAAGTAGGGAGAAGCCATGTCGTGTTGTAGAGAAAGCCAATTTCAAGGTGTAGGCCTGTGATTTTGCTGGCACTAGACTAATAGAGAAAGCCACTGTCCCAATGTAATAAGATGGCGTGTCAGCCCAAACCGTGCCTCACTTAAATGGGAAGAGAAGAGTATTAGGGATAGCAGCAGAGGTCTAGAGCCTTGATCAAGCAGGGACTAACCTCTAGTTCTATTTTATCCCAGCCATTCCAGATTACTCCTACATTCAAATAGCCTTTCTTAGTCGTTACGGCCGAGATAGTCCACAAGTGATGTACTCGTGACGGTTGTGCGTGGCCTGATTTTTAAATCGTTGGAATGTTATTAAAACTTGTAACAAGTACAACAACAAAATAAACTTTGATACGTAAATTAATAAACCCTAATTATTTACTTCAATATCTAAATCTAATGAATATTTTTGTGGAAAAAAATCTAGTCAATATTTAAACTGATTTTATAACATTTTTGTTTCAAATTTATATTCTCATTATGTATTTCAAAAGAACGAGAACCCTTTGACTTGAAAAGACACACAACATAATACTCCGAATATTTCGTCCCAAAATATTTTAACAACAGAAAAGATTTTTTGTTTAAAAAGAGTTGTAAACACTTTCACAAAAGGGAACACTGGAAAAACAAAGAGAGAGAGAGAGACATGGCCAGTGGAGGAGAAGCGACCTTCTCTGCGGCGGCGGCAAGAGGTACAGGTGGCAAACTGAAGCGGCAAACCGCGAGGAGACATACGACAACGACGCCGTATTCTCGACCTCCTCAGAACCAAGTACAACGGAGTAGGCCGTGGATCTCGAGAATCGTCGATCCTGCTTACCGAGTTATCTCCAGCGGCGCTACGAAACTACTTCCTTACTTCTTCTCCAGTGCTGCCTCTGCTCCTGCTCTTAGAGCTCCAGAAGATGAAGAAGATCAAGGTTTTCTAGATTCGTATAAGGCTCTCTCTTCCTGCGAATTTTTTTAATTGATTATATGTTAACTTAATTATATGATTGTAGTTCTGTAACTCAGCTTCCTTGGTGTACGAGTATCTAGGGTTTTGTTGAATTTGTTTAGTTGCTAGGAAGTTAGAAGACGTGATAATCACGAGGATTAATTGATGGTGGGTGAAGGCTTTTACTGTTTGCGTTAGGGTTTAGTAACAAGCTCTTTGTGTGTTATGAATGTAGGTACTGACTATACGATTTAGTCTAGAGAGATGAATTGTCCCTGCTTCTAGTTGTCTAATTTTAGTGTTTTGGATATCGTTCATATGAGTGGACTTAACATTTGGCCTCTTTTTTCTTTCTACTAGATGAGTTGCAGGATGATTCACTGGAGAATGATTCCAGCGGTGTAACACCAAGTTCAAATGTAAGCGTCTTTTCTTAGTCTCTGATTGGGAAAAACACCGCTTTGGCTTAAGCTGATTTTGTGATTTGCAATAGACACTTCATTGTCCTCTTTATATTTTTTTGAGAAACTTTGCAGAAACAGAAGTCAGCATCAGTTGAAGAGGGAGGTACTAGTAGGACAGTAAACATCAAAGAAAGCAATTTCAATACGAGTGCACAAGCAATAAGCAACGGAGCAAAAAATGGTGTTGATGCGATCTCGGAGCTTGAGAGGCTAATGGAAGGAAAAACGTTTTCACGGTATGTTATTTATTATCATGTATGTACGTTAGTTGCATATCAAATGATGCTTGATGGAAACTTGCTTCCTTTTGCTTATTATTTTGTTAATGCTTATAGTTATGTCTAAGTCATAAGATTCTTATTGAGCGTCTGCTTATCTTTCTTTGCAGTTCTGTTTTGTACTTTGTTTACTTAGGCGACTTTTACATTGACATATTTAATCTCTATCCAGGGCCGAAACTGATCGTCTTATAGAGATAATAAGTTCAAGGGCTATTGATCTGCCTCAAGTCAAGAGAGAAGAGAAAATGGAGATCCCTCTGAGGGAAGTAGCGAAGAAAAATGTGAGTTTTCTTGATCAGAAAGAAGATACCATTGGTGACAAGGATGCTAGTAACGATATTTGGGCTTCACCAATTGCACTTGCCAAGTCTGTAGTAAGTTTGTTTCTATCCTGCTTTTTTGGATGTTTAATGAAACTAGCAATTTACATGGTTTGCTCAGGCTCTTCCACTTTGCTCGAAAAGTTTGGAGTGTAGTTTGGCAGACTTTGAGATGAATTTGGATGTATCCACACGAATTTAGTCTCTTAACTCTGTGTGAGGTTGGATTATTTGTTAAATCATTTGATGGAAGAGCTATGTAATTTCACATATTTGCTTCATCGAAGAGTTTATTTCTTACCTCACTAGTTCTTATTTCTGTAATTATTAGTACACATACTTTTTCTCATTTGCTTTTTATAGACTTTTGAAGAAGCCAAACATGTGCGGGATGAAGCTGGTCTATCACCAGCAGAACTTGCTAAGGCATATATGGGAGGCCAGGCAACATCAAGTAGTTCCCAAGATTTTGTAGCAAGAAATGAAAAGAACTGTCTAGACCGGGGTATGCTTGTAGCAAATTCTTCAGGTGCATCACCATCATGCAAGCCTTCTGCTTGTTGGCCTGGTGTCAAGTTAAATGAGCAATCTGGTTTTGCAACTCCTCAAAGTCAACGAGACAACTTTGGGATCCGAAGTTTTCCAAGGACCCCATATCCTAGATCCATCCTTTCAGGTTCTAAGTCACAGGTGTGTAGAGTTTTTCGTAATACCTTTTTGCTGAAAGATTTTTTGGTATATTTGAACTGTTCCTTTTTATTTTGCTCAGCTGATGCAATTGCAAGACAATAGTAGCAAGCGTCTGAGCACCCTCCAGTCTCCCTCCCAAAGTGTGCAGACAAGATATGGCCAGGTAAACTCTCCCAGACGGCTATACAATTCTGCTTACCTGTAAAATTTATAACATATTGTGCACTTACTGTTTATTTTGTTAACTTTAAAGACAATTCTTAATGAAAATTACTGTATTCTTCCCGGATGTGTTGTTACCATTTTGCAAAACTTGATTCTAACTTAGAATCATCTATGCTGCCTTTTGAATCATTCTTGGATTCTTCTGTCTGCTGATTTCTTTTTCTTTTGTTGAAACCTGATAAGTTCTTTACTAATGTGCCCAGCTCAAACATAGCAAGGGAAGTGATGGTGGACTTTTTGGACCCAGTAGAAGATCTCGTCAGAGCGCCACCATGTCTCCTTATTCACGACCTTCCAGGGGTCGTTTCGAAAATTCTGCTAACATGAAGAGCTCTGAAGCAGGGGAATCAAGTAACCTATCTATGTCCCAGAAAACAACATATGGTAAGCATATAGGGTTGGAAGCTGGTACACCGACTGTTCCTAGACATTCTAGTCAGATTGCTAGGACGATATTGGATCACCTTGAACGGACCCAACCCACCCCGAAAGATAAATCTGCTGAGTTAAAACTTGCCACTTCTTGGAGATTTCCACAGTCCTCAAAAACTGTTGAACAAAGCATCTCGAACATCAACAATGTGAAAAAGGATGGCCCTGCCAAGGTGAATGGAGATATCCCTAAATTTTTCTCTCACAATCCACCAACTTCTGTGCCGAAACTATCTGAAGTTACCACCGGTGACATTCCAAATGCAATGGCCAGGACCGCTTCAGCATCAAATGGAATATTGAGTGGAAGTAGTAGTGGTACCACACTCCAGTATGAGTTAGGGAAGCCTAAGAGCTCTCTCTCCGGAAGCACACATGATAAGGTACATGTCTTCTTTTTCTCTAAGGTACATGTTAAGGGTTTCGATGATTTTGGTTTCTTTACTGTTAGGACCTCAATAATATACTTTAACTTAAGGATGTTAAATAAGCCTCGTGAATTTTTGAGTTTTGTGTGTTTGAAACTGAATTGCAGTTGTTTGCTTCTTCTCAAGACGGTGCAAAAGCTGTTTCCTATTCTTTTGGAGGCGAGACCGCTAATCTTCCCAAGCCACCATCCCATTCACTGGGAAATAACAAACGGTCACTTTCATCGATCTCAGTAGAGAAGCCTACTTACCAAAGATGGGCAGCCCCTTCGGGTTCAAACTCTAGCTTCACATTCCCTGTCTCTTCTTCATCTGATGGAGCAACATCATCAGAGCCTACAACTCCATCAATCATGCCATTCACAACAACTCCAAATGCTGGTGTTCCAAATACAAGTCAGCATGAAGCAACAAAAGATGATGAGATTCCTCAGTTTCGTTTCGGGGGTAACAGAAGAGGAGATGATGATAAGCTGCCTCTGGTCTTCGCCTTCCCCTCTGTGAGCGAAGAAGTGAACAATGAGGAGAAGTTGGGAGATATCAAGTTCACATTTGGGTCGAAAAAGGCAGAGAGAATATCGTTCAGCTCACCAGGAAGTGATGGTGTTTGCTGTTAAAAAACAAGGACGACGATGGTCTCTTTTTGTTTCTTTCTTTCCCTTTTGCAATCTTTTTGTATCACAGATTGTTTTATTTTTGTGCTTTGGGGAGTTAACTTTGTTCTTAGAAACATTAGTTTTGCTCTTTTAGTTGTATCATTTGATTTCTTTTGTGCTGATTTAAGAAGAAACATGAATTTTTTTTTAATCCGACTTTGTCCATAGATAAACGTGCCACGTCGGATCGTCAACGCTTTAATGACCACATTATTCTAGAAGAAGCAAAGTAAAGCTTCTGTTTTGTCTTTTTTTCTAGATGAACACTCGTGTGTGGTGGTGAGTGTTCCTCATCTCCCCCCTTCATTTTTTGTTTTTGTTTCTGTTTCAAGGGATTTGTTCTCTCCTCATGTGCTCGATTCATGCTGTAATTCAGGTTTTGCAGCCACAATGGAGAAAGAAGAAGACACGATTCATGTTTCATTTCAATCCCAACACAAAATTCGCTTTCTTTCTTCGCGCAATATCTTCTTCAGACAACAACGATGGCTCAGTTTCATCCTCCAGACAAAACAACGTATCATTATTATTCACCACCTTCTCTTATCTCTTGTATACAGTCTTAAAAATACATTGATGAATATCCTGGTTATGAACAGCGACAAATGGGTTATGATCCTTCAGAGGAATTGTTTGGTGTTGACTTCAAGCCCAGGTAACAACAACAACACATTACTTAACTCTCTTTTTTGTTTATCATGGAACTACCCTCCCGCTTTTGTTCTTCAGTTTGAAATATGTATTTTATTATTTACTTGCGTATCGTCAATCATTGAGGTTTTAGTGATGGTTTTGTTCAGGAATGTATCTGGTGACTCTCGTGAACCAAGGTCATGGTTTGGTCCCAACGGTCAGTACATTAGAGAGCTTCCTTGTCCTACCTGTAGAGGAAGAGGTTACACCTCATGCCCAGATTGTGGCATCGAGAGGGCAAGGCTGGATTGCCCTCAGTGCAAAGGAAAGGTATTCACAAAGTGTTAATTGCTTCTGAACAGGTTGCCTTCAAACTTGTGTAACAAAAAAAACTCTGTTCTTGTTATTGTAACTTTTGTGTAGGGCATTATGACTTGTCTGAGATGTTTAGGAGATTGTGTAATATGGGAAGAATCAATCGATGAACGACCTTGGGAGAAAGCTAGATCCAGGTAGTGTTGTAGTTCAAATAGCTGTTTTGACTATCCTGAGTTATTGTGAAGACTAATAAAAATGTCATGTTTTCACAGCTCTCCATTTCGAGTAAAGGAGGATGATGAGGTTGATAATTTGGAGATAAAGTTCAGTCCAAGGGGGAAGTCCAAGCGGATTTACCAGTCACCTCCTCCTGAAGTTGGACAGAAGATTAGCCGGTCTCTTAAAGTAAAGTTCCATATAAAACTTTCATGCTTTCCATGAGGAATTGTTGTTACTGACCAGAGATATGGTTTTAATAGAGTCTCAATGCCAAGACTGGACTGTTTAGTAACAGAATGAAGATTATACATCGCGATCCTGTGCTTCATGCTCAAAGGGTAGCTTCAATTAAGGTCTGTGATCAACTCTCATTTGGTTTTATACACTAAATGTAGCAGCTTTTGATATTTCCCTTCTTGAATTGTGATTTAGAAAGCTAAAGGAACACCAGCTGCTAGGAAGCATGCATCCGAAACCATGAAAACCTTTTTTAGTAACCCTGAAAACCGTGAACAGAGGAGCTTATCCATGAAAGGTAAATCTTAGTTTCTTGGTATAACTTTAGAGATTAGCTCAATTTATTACCAACTAATGTGAAATGTTGAGCAAGATTTCACCTTAGGTTAGCATTGGAACTGAACATTCTGGTAATGTCAGATATCATATTTGCTTAAATGAATATAAAACAAAGGTTTTAAGTATTATATATCAGTTTTTTTGCGCAAGAGGTGGCCATGAATCGGTAAAGAATCATTTTCTGTCCTTATTGGTTCAGGAATTAAGTTTTACTGCAAGAACTGCGGACAGGAAGGCCATAGGCGTCATTACTGTCCCGAACTGGACAGTAAGGCAGACAGAAGATTTAGATGTCGAGTTTGTGGAGGGAAAGGCCACAATCGAAGAACCTGTCCTAAGTCGAAATCAATGGTCACTAAAGGAATTTCTACAAGGTATCACCGATGTGGGATATGCGGTGAGAGCGGTCACAACAGTAGAACATGCCAGAAGCTGACTAGAGTGAAAACCACTGACACTGAGGGTGGTGGTGGTGACGAAGGTGTTGGTAAGAGAGTGTATGCTTGTGGGTTCTGCAAGAAAAAAGGACATAATGTAAGAACCTGTCCAAGTCAAGGAGTTTCAGAAGTGATTCTTGCTTAGAGCAAGAATGTTCTTGATCATTTTTTCTTTTGTTAGACTTGGTTAGACTTAACCAGATATCGGAATTTTTTGGTTATTTTGGATTTTTAAGTAAACAAGCATTAGATAATTTGGGATTTTCAGTTTAAATATCTGGTAATTCAGATTGTTCGGAGAAATATTAAGTATTCAAATTAATTTTTTTTATGAGTATTTGGTATTAGAGTGGAAAACATCTGTAACACCCATCTCCTCCTCTCTTTAGAACGGTGTGCTACTACCGGTAAAATACCAAATTAAACCGAGTTATTCAAAAGCGAATAAAATAGTGAAACATTTATTTAAAATAAAATCCAAAAATACAACTTTTAATTAAATGTTTTACTATTTTATTCGCTTTTGAATAACTCGATTTAATTCTGTATTTTACCGGTAATAGCACACCGTTCTCAAAAGAGGAGGAGATTGGTGTTACAATTTGGTATCAGAGTCGAACCCGACGAGTATGGAGTTAGTGAGGGCTCACATTAACAAGAGTAACGATCTTGGGGCGCAATAGGGACGTTGCGTTCTTTGAGAGAGGGTGAATTGTAACATCCCGGTTTGTGGTATATGAAAAGGCTTAAGAGAAATGGTTTGGCTATCTATGTCACCAAAGTGCACTTACTTTTTCAGGAGTGCATTTAGATAGAACTCCAGAGTTAAGCGTGCTTGAGCTGGAGTAGTCAAAGGATGGGTGACCTATCGGGAAGTAATTTGCGATACCGTGTAAGTGAGGCCAAAGCACGGGAAAAGGTCGGATGGTGATTGCAGGGTCAGTAAACATGGCTCTAGAGCCTTGGAAAATTAACGGACCGACCGTTGGAACGGGATGGACCCACGGGCCGAGAGAGCGGGCGTGGATGACCCATTAGCCATGGGCGGTCGGGGTGTTACAACATCTTTGTGGTATCGAATACTACTAACATAGTGAGATGTTGGTATCGAATACTACTAACATGTTGAGATCCCGCGATTTCAGAAAAACAATGAAGGAACTAGTTTTGTATAATTCTTCACTTATTCGTTAAACTGTAAAACGTAAACCAATACAAAACCAAAAACCGGTTAAAGAACTGAAGGTTTAAACCGTAAATCCTCCATTATGCGTGTTGGTTTAGCAATCAAAAGACCACCCAATCGGAGAATAATATTTCCAAAAATTGATTGGAATTTTGAGTGAGAGAGAGATGGAGCAGCTGAAGACAATAGGGAGAGAGCTAGCGATGGGATCGCAAGGAGGTTTCGGCGAGTCGAAGGAGTTTCTCGATCTGGTCAAATCAATCGGAGAGGCCCGATCCAAAGCCGAGGAAGACCGAATCGTCCTCAGCGAGATCGACACACTGAAACGCAAGCTCCTCGAGCCAGACATCCCCAAGAGGAAGATGAAAGAGTACATTCTCCGCCTCGTCTACGTCGAGATGTTAGGTCACGACGCTTCTTTCGGTTACATCCACGCCGTTAAGATGACTCACGCCGACAGTCTCCTCCTCAAGCGCACTGGTTACTTGGCGGTTACGCTCTTCCTCGACGAGGATCACGATCTCATCATCCTCATCGTCAACACCATCCAGAAAGATCTCAGGTCCGATAACTATCTCGTTGTTTGCGCGGCGCTTAATGCGGTTTGTAGGTTGATCAATGAGGAGACGATACCGGCGGTTTTGCCTCAGGTGGTTGAGTTGCTTAGTCACCAGAAGGAAGGTGTGAGGAAGAAGGCGGTCATGGCTTTGCATAGGTTTCATCGCAAGTCTCCGTCTTCCGTTTCGCATTTGGTATCTAATTTCAGAAAGAGGCTGTGTGATAATGATCCTGGAGTGATGGGCGCCACGCTTTGTCCTCTCTTTGATCTCGTTAGTGAACATGTTGATTCCTATAAGGATTTGGTTAGTAGTTTCGTCAGCATTCTTAAGCAGGTCACTGAGAGGAGGTTGCCAAAGAGTTACGATTACCATCAAATGCCTGCACCCTTCATCCAGGTTCGGCGCCATATGTGTGTGTGTGTGTGTGTTTTCTCTTTAACCCTTACAATTGGTGATGATCAAATTTATGTCTTTTAGATCAAGTTGCTGAAGATAATGGCTCTGCTGGGTAGTGGTGATAAGAGTGCGAGTGAAATCATGTATATGGTCCTTGGAGATTTGTTCGGAAAGTGTGATTCGTCTACCAATATAGGAAATGCCATCCTTTATGAGTGTATTCGTTGTATCTCTTGTATAATTCCAAGCCCCAAACTGTTGGAAGCTGCTGCTGATGCTATCTCCAAGTTTTTGAAGGTTGGTCTTTCTGGGAGACATGTATGTGTTTATCTTATGACTCTTATCTAAATCCTGTGGTGACTATTTGTAGAGTGATAGTCACAATCTGAAGTACATGGGGATTGATGGTCTTGGCCGACTCATAAAAATAAGCCCTGACATTGCTGAGCAGCACCAACTTGCTGTGATAGATTGTTTGGAGGTGAGCTAATATAAAGGAAACTTCATTTAGTTGTTTTTTTTCTCATGTCAGCAGTCGTTTGTTTTTGGTGCCTGATGTTTTCCTTGTTACTTTTGACAGGATCCAGATGATACGCTAAAGAGGAAAACTTTTGAATTGTTGTACAAAATGACAAAGTCCTCTAATGTTGAAGTGATTGTAGACCGAATGATTGATTACATGATCAGTATCAATGACAATCATTACAAAACTGAGATAGCATCTCGTTGTGTTGAGTTGGCCGAACAATTCGCTCCAAGCAATCAATGGTTCATCCAGGTAGCAAGCCGACCTTCTCTTGGACACTGCCTACTTATATACTCTGTTTTGGGTGACAGAAATTTAAAATCACCATACTGCAGATCATGAACAAAGTCTTCGAGCATGCAGGAGATCTGGTAAATATTAAGGTGGCACATAATCTGATGCGTTTGATTGCTGAAGGATTCGGAGAGGACGATGACGATGCAGACAGCAAGCTTAGATTATCAGCTGTATGTTGTTCATTCCCTTTGTGTTCGTTCTGATTTCGTTTGGTTTTTCTAGTTTTGGTATCTCAAATGTTAATATTAAAGTGAGGAGTAACTCCGTTGGTTTAGATACTCTGTTTTTCTATTGTGCTTATGAATGTGTTTTTCTCGATGCAGGTAGAATCGTACCTGCAGATTATCAGCGAGCCAAAGCTCCCATCTCTGTTTCTTCAGGTTTATTTTGTTTTATGACCTCTCCGCTTGCCGTTTTTGCACATCAAATATATGCTTCTCAATTTTGGGTTTAATATCCAGGTCATTTCTTGGGTGTTGGGAGAATATGGCACAGCTGACGGGAAGTATTCTGCCTCCTATATCAGTGGAAAGCTGTGCGATGTGGCTGATGCATACTCAAGTGATGAAACTGTTAAGGTAGCTCGGCAACATTCAATATGATGCATCTAGAAACCGTTTCCTTCCTAGTTGTTTATCCTGTAGCTTCTTGTATGACTCGAGTTCTCTTTGAGATCTCCGTTCATGTTAGCTTCATAGGGACAACATAGAAGACTGAATGCAATGCAGATGTGACTAACGCATTACATGCTAACGCATTTATAGATGTCTGATCAAGGTTCTTTACTAGTACATGTACACATGAGGTGGTGATTTTACATCTTACCGCAGTCCGTTTTTACTGCTTGAAAAATGGTAATTGTTTTCTGTTCTTTTTGTAGGGATATGCTGTTACTGCACTGATGAAGATATATGCATTTGAAATTGCATCTGGGAGAAAGGTGGATGTTTTGCCAGAGGTCTGTATCTTTAGACGTTTCTGGAATCTAAAACACGATCTATATAGCCTGATGTGTCATGGACTGATTTGTTTATTAATGCAGTGCCAATCTTTGATCGAGGAGCTACTTGCTTCACATTCAACAGATCTGCAGCAACGTGCATATGAACTTCAGGCTCTCCTTTCTCTAGATGCACGTGCTGTGGAGAGTATACTACCTTTAGATGCTAGTTGCGAAGACATTGAGGTAACCTTTTCTCTTCATGCATGCCTTTGTAACGTGGATTTCCTGAATCTTACAGTCTTGTTATCTGAATTTAGGTTGACAAGGATCTTTCATTTCTCAATGGCTACATCCAACAAGCTATTGAGAGTGGAGCGCAACCTTATATCTCTGAGAGAGAGCGCTCTGGTATGTTGGAAACAACTGATTACCATTCCCAAGATCATCATGAAGTTCCATCTCATGCTCTTAGATTTGAAGCCTATGAACGTCCAAAGCCATCAGTGCCAACACAAGCTTCGACCGAGCTTGTTCCAGTACCCGAGCCTTCTTATTACAGCGAGGCACACCAGCCAGTTTCAACTTCTTCCGTGTCTGAACGAGAGTCATCAGAAATCAAGCTGCGACTGGATGGGGTTAAACAAAAATGGGGTAGACCCAGCTATCAGTCGTCCACATCCGCTTCTTCTACTCCTCCCCAAGCAGCAAATGGTACCAGTACTTACTCGGATGGTGGAGTTGGCTCATCTAGCTCAAAACCTCGAAGCAGTTATGAACCAAAGAAACCCGAGATCGATCCTGAGAAACAGAGACTCGCTGCATCCTTGTTTGGTGGATCATCATCGTCAAGATCTGATAGGAAGTCATCTTCTGGTGGTCACAAGCCCGCAAAAGGAACAGCTAACAAACTCCCCAAGGAAAATCCAATCCCTGTTCAGCCGCCACCAGACTTGCTCGACTTTGGCGAGCCAACTGCTACAAGTGTAACAGCAACGGATCCTTTTAAAGAGCTGGAAGGGCTTATGGATTCTTCGAGCCAAGATGGTGGTTCAACCGATGTGATGGGACTATACTCAGATCCAGCGCCTCTGACCACAACCACCAGCGTTGACTCTCTCTTATCAGAACTGTCTGATAGCTCCAAAGGAAACCCAGGCACATATCAGTCGCAAACCTCAAAAGGACCAAACTCAAAGGAGGCTCTCGAGAAAGATGCTCTTGTTAGACAAATGGGTGTGAACCCAACAAGTCAGAACCCTACACTGTTCAAAGATCTCCTTGGCTAGCCGAACCATTCTCCCAGTCAAAACCATCCATTGACTCACATCAACATCATCAACATCCCCACCTTCTTCCCATATTTTGTAAGGCGCTGTGGAGTTTGGGGATTAGTAACGTTTCTGATACAAGAACAGCTTTTTGTTGTATCTATGTTTCTCAATAGAAACTTTCAGTTTACAAAACACAGAGAGAAAGAGAGGTAAGTCACGTTTCGAGGTTTTGTTTTGTTTTCAATGGTTTCTCTTTTTATTTTGGAGTATCAGTGACGTACCGCCGTTGAGATTGAGCTTCTCTTGTTGTGTCTATAGAACATTTGTATTGTCTTTTTACTTCTTAGAGGTGTTTAATTTTTCTTTAAAAATACACTTCGTTTCAGAATAAAGATTAAGTGTAGCATTATTTTTCTTTTTACAGATGCGTACTACTCTGTATATGGGGTTAATAATTATTCAGTTTTACATAAATAACTTTATAAATAGAGTAATAAAAATCTTACAAACCAAATATAATCATATTATCCATCTTAATTTTCCCACATTTGGGAATTATTCTTTATGGAATTCATCTCGAATTGGGTTAAACATCTAATGTATTGATTATGGTATCTAAACGCAATGGATAGACTCTAAGGAAGGCATAATCGATTTGTGGGATCGTCAACTTATCAACCTGTTGTATGCACAGCCTCATGATCATGTCTTTGAGAGCTATAGATATGATGGTGAACAAAGAGCTACAAGAGAAACCTGTGTTTGGTCCTCCCATTGGTAATGGTATCAGAGTATTCTTCCGTAGACACCTTTATTGCAAAAACATGTGAACAAATCAACTTTGATTTTCAGATTTGTCAGAGAGAATAAGTAGCGTGTGAAGCTTAAAAGTTAAAACCAATCAAACTCCCATGAGTTCTCAAGCAAAGCAAAAACTGGATTTCTTTTGTTGTGATCGACTTAGCTAATCACTCTGTTTTTTTTCTCTGTTATTACCACACAGGCTGAGCGGTAATTCTCGTCCTTCAAGGATGTAAAAGTCATCAAGTTTCTTTAACAGAAAATACATTTGTTGGATTCTCTAATAATGCAAGTTGTAAAAGCGTTAAATAATTTGAGATTTTCAGTTTAAATATGGGGGTATCAGTTTAAATATGGGGGTAATTCAGATTGTTCGGAGAAATAAAAGTAATCGAATAACTTTTTTTTTTTGAGTATTTGGTAATTGGTATCAGAGTGGAAAACATATCTGTGGTATTGAATACTACTAACATGTTGAGATTCTGCTGATTTCATAAAACAATGAAGGAACTAGTTATGTGCAAGTCAATCATGTTGAATGGTAGTAATTTTGGACCATAATTCGATTTATAAATAATTTTTTTTTAGAAATTAAATATAATTAATACTTGTAGGTATATAATTTTATTCTAAAACGTGGTTATTAATTTGAATCTTTGTTGGGTTCACTTTTTGGATTCCAAAAATATAGAATCCATTCGAAAATTTGGTTCAGTTTTTGTCCTTTTTTTTCCTATTTGGTACAGCTTGGTTCTTTGATTCTGAAAAATATACTATCTTATATTGAGATTCATATAATTTTATTTCATAATTATAAAAATAAACTCATGCTTTTTTTTTTCTAAGCGTGGATTAAAATTTTGCTTAAGTATTTTATTACAAATTTATAGAATGATATTTATTTTTAAAAGTGAAGTTCATTAAACCATATTTTTAAAACCAAAATTTTAATTTGTAAATGATATATCAAATATTTTATTCAAATTTCTGTTATTTCGAAACATTAATAGTTCATCATTGTTAAAAAAAAAATTCGAAAAGGATCATTGTTAAATTTTGATTTTTCATGTCATGGGAACACTTAAGATCCCAAACATCTTTAGTATTTATACTATATCATTGCATGATGCATTAAAACAAAAACAAAAATCATACTTTTTAATTTATCTTCTTCAGTTGTTCTAGTTTCATGCAACTAATCATTTTTCCGGCAACTAATATAATTTGCACCAAATTATATATAAAGGTTCCTTTAAATCTTGCGCGCTCTACTCAATCTCCTTTTCTCGCTCTCGTCTCTTTCACTTATCTTTATCTTCTCCAAGAATCATTTCAAGAATCGTTCTTGATTCTGTAAATGACAGTTCCTCATGTTCTTACCTTCGCTAATGACGAAAAACGTAAGGTATCCCTACGTAAATTGAAGAATATTGAGGAGATCGAAGGTCCATAGTAATTTCATGTTCTTTCTTAGAACCGTATCAGACTCATGACAGGATCCTGGAATGCACAGAACGTTTCATGAGCAGGGAAGTGATCGTGAATCATCTATTGGATCGATTTCAAACCTAACCTAATTGGACCAACACATGTAAACTGAATTCATTTTTCACGAAGGAAAACTGTTGGCTTATTGGAATGTTTGTGTTGTAGTTTTCGATAAACTTGAGTGTGAGAATTCAGATCACTAGCTTCTAATATGCCTCCTCGAGATGATGGCTATTTGAGCGTCAATCTTGGAATGTGGACAATGTTTGGGCAAAAATCGATGGAGCGACTTTGGGATGGATCGATGTGGATCAGATTGGACTGCGTGGATTGACTCGCAAGAGAGAGCAAACTGAGGACCAAGTGGAGCTAATGAGATTCAAGACACTACTGATGACATTCAAGAAAGCAGAGAACATTGTGATTACAGCAATGATTGCAGACATGATGCTTACTCTCTGAAAGTCTCAGTTTAAAAACATTATATTCATTCTTTCACATGCAATCACAACTATGTATCTTATTAAGGTGTTTAGAGCTTTGATACAAGAGAAATACCCTATCATCTCAACCAGTGGCTTATATCACTACAGCACCAATCTCTGCTTTGAGATTTTCCATTACCTATACAAGAGAAAACAATCAGAATGTCTTCGCTACATTAACCCTTGAACAAAGTATACAATCCAACCCAACTATTATCTTTTAAATGATCTTAAAAATACCCCAAGTCATCTTCCAACTTCGTCAGGGCAGAATCAGAAGAAAGCGCCATTGTTAACCAGACATATTCTCATGCAAAACTGAGCTTCACATTTCACTTTGGCTTGGTAGTGTACTGTAGAAAATGAAAAAAAAACATAGATCCATAAGCCACAACAGGGAATATAGAAAGATTTTCTGTATATACGCAGCCTCATTTGTCTTCTTTCGTAGTTGATCCTTTCTAAGTTATCACTTCTGTGCGCTTCAGATTTAAACAAACATATAGAACTAACCAAAACACACTAACATCACGAACAATTGTATACCGGAGAGAACAAGCATGCTACGCAAGACATGATGATGCTCAAGGACATTTCACTCTCTACACCAGATATGTAGAGAAGGTTCTGTAACACATTAAAAAAAGCCTAAGAAGAAAACTCTTGTTCACCACACAAACTCAAATCAACAGTTTGAGCCAAAATCATACTACACACCTTTACTCACCACTGAGGTAAGTAAATAAGGTTCTTTTTATGTGCCTTGGGTAAGGTAAGTAACACAAAATAATAAAACACTTGCTAACACAAACCAAAAAATTCAATATGCATTTCTCTGAAGCTATGACCATAAGAAGAGAGATTCAATCTGCATATTTGATTTGAAACTGAAACCCCAAAAATCTAATTAGAACGTTTTAGGTAATCAATGTTGGTCGTCCACCAGAAGATAACTAAATCGAAATCAAAATAGATAAGCGAAACAGGAAACATCAATTCAATCAACGCAATTCAGCCAGATAATTTCGAGAACGGACTGACAATGGGAAGAGACTAACCCTCGGCTTCGGCGATTGTGGAGAGTCTGAATCTGTTTCTGATGAGATCGTCCATATGGAGTTGTGTTCAAATACCGGTCTCCTGCGGTCATGGCGAAAACAAAGAGATAGGCTCAGGGGCGAACTTTAGGAATTTTTTGTATTGGGTGCATAACTTATAAATTGACAAAATTACAATCAAAGGTGGGGTATTAATGGGTGCATATAGCTGAATCGTAATGAATTTACATACTAAATTTCAAAATTTTGATAATTCTATGGGTGCACATGCCCCCTTAGTTTTGGCCTGCCTTCGCCCCGGCTAGGCTTCGCCTGTGTTGGGGGCTTTACGCGGGAAAACAAAATAACTAAAGGCAGCTTGTTAGTTTGACAAGAAAAACTTTCAAACGATAAATTGTTGAATCTGTAACGATTAATCCATGTACAGTCTACTTATGTCGCAAATATTACAACAAAATACACTAACCTTTGACCCTTTTAACCTTTTTTTTTCTATAACACTAGAGCATTTTTAACTCATCGCTAAAATATATTTATATTTTCAACTCACTTCTATATCTAGCATTTTCTGTATTTACAGTAATAAATATCATTTTCTATTTGGAAAAATATAAAATGAAGTTGTTCTTGTTCTGTGTTTATAATCTTGTATCTTTTTAAAAGGAAATATAAAAGTGGAGTGAAGATGTTCTTATCATTATGCAATTCCTCTACATTTGTTGTTTACTTTTACCATTATTCTTATCAGGATGATACATGTAGTCTGAACAAGAAACAATGATCAAAAGACAAAAGTAAATAGTCACGTTTTCTTACTTGATCAACGTGTAGGGATGGACAATAGTTTACGCGCTAAAAATAACAAGCATTTTTTCTGGAAAAAGAGACACTAAGCAGGCAAATATTGACCAAAGGTGAAGGTGGTGATAATATCCATATGAATTTATTCAACAACTACCAAACACGTATACGCGTCTTCACGTATCTTGCGTTAATGACCCCTAGAAAACCTCCCATTGTCTTTTATAAATACAACTCTCTCCTTTGAGACTTTCTGAACCATAACAAACAAAAATATCAAAAAGGGTCGTAAACACTTTGTTAACAAAAAAAATACTTATCTTTTAAGACAACGTTTATCAAGTTATCGACCAAGAAAAGGAAAAAAAAGGGGTGACCTGAGTTTTTTCAACACAACACAAGGAATGGCCCGATTTTTCAAAACTGTGACATGTATGTTTTTGGTTTTAGCTGCGGTTGTTTTCGCAGAGGACTATGATGTTGGTGATGATACCGAATGGGCGAGACCTAGCGATCCTAAGTTCTATGATACATGGGCTGCCGGTAAAACGTTCCGTGTAGGCGACGAGCTTGGTGAGTTTGATATGTCTTTGTTTTCTATTTTTGTTGAATAGATTTTTCACTTTCCACCGGATAGTCCATATTTTTATATATTATTAGGCGTAGGTTTTGTATATTGTCACGGTCATTTATTTATTTTTATTTCAACTTAAATATTTCCTTTAGAAAAATGATAATGGAACCATGTTTCTTTGGAAGATCATCAACAGTGTTCTAAAATTGTTAGTGTACTTAGCTCTTTTTTTTTTTTTTTTGAACAAATGTGTACTTAGCTCTTAAACGTATATCTTGTCGCCAATTTGAATATGAAGGAAAGGAATTTTCTAAACCAATATTTTAGAATATCAGTCTAAATAGCGCCCAAACACCCACTTAGGACTAAACCATTAAAAAACATTTATCGATCTCAAAAGTATTCACTAGTAATTTAGTTCATCAAATATTCCTCGTTTGTAAACCGTTATTTTTCTAGAAAATCATAGGATATTTCGACTAGGACATCAACCAACATTGAAAGGCGCCGACTATGAGCGTCATTTTCAATTGCTAAATTAATAACAAGTTTTTTGTATATAATTATTACAGAATTTGATTTCACCGCTGGGAGGCATGATGTGGCTATTGTAACAAAAGATGCATATGAGAATTGCGTGAAAGAGAAACCTCTCAGCGCCATGATGACTCCTCCGGTCAAAATTGTGCTAAACACAACAGGACCACAATACTACATCTGCACCTTCGGTGACCATTGCCGCTTTGGTCAAAAACTTTCCATCAACGTAGTTGGTGCTGGTGGTGCTACCACCCCAGCTGCTGGAGGAACCACTCCCACCACCCCAGGAGCCGGGACTACTACTACTACAACACCTAAGGCTGGAAGTGCCGCTTCCACATTAGGTGGTGCCTCTATTTTGGTGGCCTTTGTTTCTGCTTTTGTTGCTCTCTTTTGAGTTAGATTCGATCGATCGGAGTACTGAGTATGTGTTTGTTTTAGCTTGGTATACGTACGTACGTAGTTTAACAATCATGCATTTTCTTTATGGGAATAAAACTCGTCTTCATTCAGGTCATTGTAGAGACATATGATAGCTAGGTTATATAAATTTAAGATTGATTTTCGTTTTTCACATCATCGATATATATCTTATTATTTCATGGAAAGATGTGTCATCTTCTTGATCCAGGTTTTAACAACTTTGCCTTCTAAATATATCAATCACTCACGAATCTGAAACATTAACTGATTGTGAACTCAAGTTTATAAATTTTATTGAACATATATACACGTTCGACTTTTTCAATACCAATGTGGCTCTCTCTCGTAAATCTCTCATAAACCATTAGTCATGGATAATAACAGGAAGATAATTTCTTAATATATATGATTTTAGTGTTATCTAATAAACGCTTAAACGTTGATTAAACGTTTTAGGCGTTATACTTACGCCCGATTGTTCTCTGTTTAGCGAGAATATCACATAAACGGTTGTTCTGTAAAAAAAAAATCACATAAACAGGTCTATATAGCACACAAGTAGTATTACCTACTACGTACGTAAGACCAGAAACTCGCACAAGACTTTGACACGTGTCCGATTGACGTGAATCAGAAAACCATTAACAAGCAATTGCATTTTTCCCTAATAATTTAAGCATGATAACTTCCAACGGTTATAACAAAGTCTTGGTAATTTCAGTGCTTCTTTACTTTTGTAGTTTCTTTCTTATCCAACTTCAAATCAATTTATTTCACTCACTTCTTTGCCAACATGATATCTTCATATTTCAAATAATTTAATATGTTTGATTAATATAGTGTAGCTACGATATTCGATAAGGCCTATATATGACTTAGAGTTCTTGAAATAGCAAGTCTTGAAATAACCAAAGTAAAGAACCTGTTAAAAAAGTAGTTCTAATTTCTACTGAGCTCTTGGCTTTCAATCTACAATCTACAATAATTCTCTTGCTTCCAATTTATATATGGTGAGTTACTTCGTTAGACAGATAGAAAAATGGAATGCAAAATGGTTTATATGAAAAATTGTATAACTTCGTCTCCTTTTCCAGTTTGAAATTAATCCTAATCTACATTTCATCTAAAAAAAACATACTAAGGAAGAGACCAGTGGTTAGAAACAGCAGTTTAACCTATAGAGACAGAAATGATCAAATCAAATGAAAGCAATAAACATCAATCACAGGCAAAGAGTGTTAAAGCAAATGAACTAATTATGTTTCAACTTAATTTTTACGTTACTTCAAAGTTTTTTTTTTGCTAGTGTAAAAAGGAGGGAGAATAGAGTTGGCTATGTGACTAAGTGTAATAAGAGAGACAAAAGCAAGCAGTCCATTACTGTGTTATCACGAAAGTAGCTTTGTTTTCCATCCCAAACTGTAAAAAGTCTCTCTTCACCTATAGATTAATGAAACACGTTCTCTCTCTTTCTCATCAATGTTCCTTTGAGACCAATGCTCCTCCTTTTCTTCTCCATATAAACCACATATCCTCTCCTACATATCCTAACAAAGTAACAATCTCTCATAGCAAACCCTAAAACTGAGAAAAGAGAGCTAAAGAGAGAGAGAAAGATGGGAAGAGGAAAGATAGAGATAAAGAGGATAGAGAACGTAAACAACAGAGTGGTGACGTTCTCAAAGAGAAGGAATGGGTTGGTGAAGAAGGCGAAAGAGATCACAGTTCTCTGCGATGCCAAAGTTGCTCTCATAGTCTTTGGAAGTAATGGTAAAATGACTGATTATTGTTGTCCTTCCATGGATCTTGGTGCTATGTTGGACCAATACCAAAAGTTATCTGGCAAGAAACTATGGGATGCTAAGCATGAGGTATTCCTTCTCTTTTTGATTTTTTTCTCTCTTTAATCTAAAGTTTCTTAGTCTTAAAAAAATTCTATGGCCATCAATTTCTTTGCCGAAAACATGTCAGAAGGCCCTTGAATCAGAACCCTAGATACAGATCTACTCTAGTGTTTTGTCTCAAGAACAAATATTCTGTGCTAAATATTATGAAACGGGGTTATTTAATTTGATTTTCCTAAAATATGTCAAAAAGGAAAACCTCTCGAACCCTAGATGCAGATCTACAAAGTTTCCTTTGTGTGCTTAGCCTTCCAAGCCTCTTTATTGATTCTCTTGTACTCAACAAGACATGGAGCCACAAAACATGGAAGTTATTCTTTTTTTTTCCATTGTTTTTTTTTTCTTTTATTCATGCTTAATTTTTAAGATCTTGATTATATTGTGGCGTATATATCTAAATGTATTCACCAACTGTGTTTTGAAACCACAAAGACAATCTTGAGAGAGCTAGTACTTAGATCTATGAGTAATTCCTTTCATAGGTTATAAGATTAGTCAGAGGAAATTTGAGATGTGATATAAATACTAATCTCTGAACAGTTTACTGATTTTACATGAGTGAGAGAACACTGGGAAATCCTTTTGAATTACTCTTTATAACGATTGATCTTAATCCAGATATTATTAATTAGTTCTGACAATCATAAGTTTAGTTCTAACAAACAGGATATATCTTTATAAAGTAATCAACATACAGAGGGTTGTATACCATTTAAGTTACTGTCTAGTAGAGTATATAGGTGTGTACGTATCTGTATACTTTTTGCATCTTGCATATCACTCAGTATTTATATGTTGTGCAAAAACATGAAAGACTTTTCGATAACCAGATCTGTTTCTTCAATATTTGTTTCCAACATATATTCATATTTAGTGTTTATGTAAGTGGTTTTTTTTTTGGTGCGACTAAAATTTTGAAAACAAGTTTGCTCATCTAATACATATAAGCTGAATAATTTTGGTGTTCAGAACCTCAGCAATGAGATTGATAGGATCAAAAAGGAGAATGATAGCTTACAACTGGAGCTCAGGTCAATCTCCACCCTTCATACTGCCATATACTTAATTAGACAAGTATATACAAGACAGTTGAATAAAATAAACTTTTAAATATCAACATGAATGATAAAATGCATGAAATTGTATATACAGGCATTTGAAAGGGGAAGATATACAGTCTCTCAACTTAAAAAACTTGATGGCTGTAGAGCATGCCGTTGAACATGGCCTCGACCAAGTCCGAGACCATCAGGCATGTATGCATGCATACACATGCATACACACGCATATTTTCTATATATAGATATACACAATCAAAATTCACAATTAACTCTTAACTTGATTTGCTTTGCACAGATGGAGTTCCTTATGTCAAAGAGGAGAAACGTGAGCATATAACCTATTTTATTTACTATTGGGATTTCAAATTGAAATATCATGTTTTGTGGCAGGAGAAAATGATGCTGGAGGAGAATCAGCAACTCAATTTCCAGCTGGTATGTATAAATGATAGTCATTTATATTCATTAAGCCCTTGAGCATACGATTTGGCCGTTTGAAACTATATATTGGTATGTTAAAGTGTGCTTGAGATATATGGATATGGTTTGGAAATTGCAGCAACAGCAGGAGATGGCAATAGCTAGCAACGAAAGAGGAATGATGATGAGAGATCATGATGCGCAATTTGGATATAGAGTTCAACCGATTCAGCCAAATCTTCAGGAGAAGATTATGTCTTTGGTTATCGATTGATCATATTTGAGATTAGCAATCTCATGACCAATCTACTATCTATCTCATGGTTCTTTAAATAGTCTTTATAATTGTGTGTCCTTCCGATGTCGAGCCACATAATACTCTTTATCCTACTTTTTTTTTACTTAAGCTTTATATGTGTGTTGCTTGCTTCTGAACTCTATCATCTATGTATTGGTTGTGTTGTATTCTTCAACGTTTTAACCTAGTAATTGCTTGTGTTAAATTAATGATCCCTATTGAATTATAATCGCGGTTTAATTATGAGGGATTTTTTAAAGATATAGTGGGAATTTACGCTGTATTATGTGATTAGGATTCGAGGGACTTTGGGTGCTTTTTTTTGTAACTGTTCATAATCCTCATATTTTTCGGTGGACTTTGGGTGCTTCATATTGAAAATATTACACTGTAAGACACTTTCAAGTTATTTATAACACTCAGAGGCAGTTTGTTATACCAACACACTTTTTTCTAACTAATCATTTTATTCTCGTCACTCTTTAACTAAGGGGTTGATTGGTAGAGCATTAGCATAAGCATTATGCTCTCTATTATCCAATCAACATTTGGCAAATAAACATTTAGAAAAGCATTTACCAAATGCAAATGCTCTCCAAATGCTCTTTGCTCAATGCTCTCATATAGAGCTTTTGGGAGAGCATTTGCATATAGAAAATATAAAACTTAATAATATTTATATATAATTAATTTATTTTGTTTAAAAATATAAACAATATTTTTATAATTAAATATAAATTTATATTTTAAAAAAATAAAAATAAAAATAAAAATTATAATTAATTATTTTTAAAAGAACAATATTTCACATTTAAAATATAATATAATTTATATAATTACATATATCATTCATTATTTTTAATAAAAAACATAACATAATATAATTTATATATTATCGATATAAACATATTATTTAGACACTAATAAGTAAATTATATATTAACTTTTATGATAATTTTATATATGAGTAATTTAGTGCTCTGCCAATAAATAAATAATAATAATTTATAAATAAATTATAATTAATTTATTTATTTATTGAATAATAATTATAATTTAATAATAATTAATTAAATTATAACTATAATTTTATATATGAGGAATATGTTATATCCAAAAAAAATTAATATTTTTAAAAAAATTAATTTTTAAATATATTTTACATAATGAAAATTAATTATTTTAATAAAATTATATATTATTAATATATATTATATATATTATTTTAAAAGAAATATATTATTTTACTAACTATTATGACAATTTTAAAATTGTATACTGTTAATGCTCTGCCAATCACTTTATTGAAAAATTTAATGAAAGCATACAGCTTCTGTAGCATACTGCTTCTGCAGCATACTGCTACTGCTTTATCATCTGCTGTACCAATCGAGGCCTAAACAACTGAAAGCCTAAACTATTATATTATGGGGAATTAACCTCCACCACATATTTTTCTCACTTCCCAAAACATTTTTTTATTCTTTTTTCTCTTTCTTTGTTCTTATCTTCTTCTCTTTTCTTTTTATAGTTACACAAAACTATTAAAACTATTGATAAATTACTTTTTGTAAATCTCAAATTTGAAGAGATAGAGATCCATGATTTTTTTCAAAAAAAAAAGAGATTCATGGTTACAACATCATCATACTGTCTACAAGCATTTCTTCTGTCATAACAATACCACCTATGTCTCCATCTCATTTTTGCCTCCTTCTCGTCGTCGCCTTCACCGCATCCTTCTCGTCGTCTCTTTCTCATCGTTGCTTTCATCGTCTCCTTCTTGTTCTCGTCGTCACTTATGGCTCGTCGCTTTCATCTCCTCCATCTCGCCGCCTTCCTTCGTTGCAAAAGCTCGATGAGCAACAATGGTCAGTTTTAATTTTATTGCACATCTGACCCCTACACATTTGAATATATTCATTTCTGACATATGTGTTTTTGATTTGCAAATATATCTTTTCAANCAATGGTCAGTTTTAATTTTATTGCACATCTGACCCCTACACATTTGAATATATTCATTTCTGACATATGTGTTTTTGATTTGCAAATATATCTTTTCAAATTAATTTCACACTTTTTAATTCTACACACCATATTTTTCATAATTAAATTTACTTATTTTTTTACATTTGTTCAGTCAATTCATACACATTTTTTTTTGTTTTATCTTCACATGAAGAATTCATGAGGATGGACAGTATGCAAGGAAGAAAGATTGAACACCCTTTTGTACATGTGGATATGTAAACCGATGTACAACCAGATCGCACACACCCTTTTGTACAGAATATGTAAAACGATGTACACATATATATCACTAAAACATTGTACTTGTGGAAATTTTAAATGAGATTTACACTTTTACTAGTATATAATCTTCTCAACTCCGCAACATCCAAATTAAAATGAATGAGATCGCATCTATATATGATTTAAGTAATATATGACATGGTTCAAGACGTGTATAGCATAAATATATGTACACATTACCATAATATCACGCTACCTAATTGGATAATTTTGCTAGTTTCAAAATGTGTACGACCATATAATGTCCACGTGTACACACAAATTTTATCTCATGTACAAGGATTCGCTTGTATAATATTGTCCATGTACAAGTACAAATTTCATCGTCTCCTTCTTGTTCTCGTCGTCACTTATGGCTCGTCGCTTTCATCTCCTCCATCTCGCCGCCTTCCTTCGTTGCAAAAGCTCGATGAGCAACAATGGTCAGTTTTAATTTTATTGCACATCTGACCCCTACACATTTGAATATATTCATTTCTGACATATGTGTTTTTGATTTGCAAATATATCTTTTCAANCAATGGTCAGTTTTAATTTTATTGCACATCTGACCCCTACACATTTGAATATATTCATTTCTGACATATGTGTTTTTGATTTGCAAATATATCTTTTCAAATTAATTTCACACTTTTTAATTCTACACACCATATTTTTCATAATTAAATTTACTTATTTTTTTACATTTGTTCAGTCAATTCATACACATTTTTTTTTTGTTTTATCTTCACATGAAGAATTCATGAGGATGGACAGTATGCAAGGAAGAAAGATTGAACACCCTTTTGTACATGTGGATATGTAAACCGATGTACAACCAGATCGCACACACCCTTTTGTACAGAATATGTAAAACGATGTACACATATATATCACTAAAACATTGTACTTGTGGAAATTTTAAATGAGATTTACACTTTTACTAGTATATAATCTTCTCAACTCCGCAACAACCAAATTAAAATGAATGAGATCTCATCTATATATGATTTAAGTAATATATGACATGGTTCAAGACGTGTACTTTGACTTAGAAGTGAGATAGCATAAATATATGTACACATTACCATAATATCACGCTGCCTAATTGGATAATTTTGCTAGTTTCAAAATGTGTACGACCATATAATGTCCACGTGTACACACAAATTTTATCTCATGTACAAGGATTCGCTTGTATAATATTGTCCATGTATGTACCGATGCATAGACATCAACATATAAGATCAATTTTTGTTTTTGAGCAAGAATAACAAACAACATGTGTGTACACTTTGTGACGTGTACACATGTAGAAATTTGAACAAATTAGATGTGTAAGACAAATAGACAGGTTATTTTGTGTACACTTTGTAATGTGTACACATGTACATCGACAATGGACCAATATATGTAAAGAAGTTATACACATATATGTGGATTGATGGTTACTTACTAAAATAATTCTAAAATACTTAATAAATAGATCAAGTCAAAGTGAAAATGGTGTACATAACAATAGGTGTACATGATTTTGTATTGTGCCAAAATAAGAACATGATTTTGTATTTCATTAATATCTAATAATTTTTAGCTTTACTTTTAGTTCATTTAATATATTTTCAATGTATTTAAGAATTAATTATGTGTATATATTGCTCAATTTCAGTAACAGAGACTTGTAGTTTCTAACTAGTTAATTTTTAGCTTAATCAAAGAGACAATTGATTTTATACACCATAGGTGTACATATTATTTTGTGTGTTATGCTTACTGTAATGATTTTTAGTTTTTATTTTAGTCCATTTAATTTATTTTCTAATCCATTTAATTTTGTGTATATATTGCTCAAATTCATAAAATTAAAATTAAAGAAATATTGGAAAACGTTAAGGATCAAAAATGCACAACTAATAAGTTTTGGGTTTAAAAAAAAATTATACAAAACATTAAAGACCAAAAGTGCAAAAAGCTTAAAAGTGGCCATTGATATTCTCAAGGTTCTACAGTGTCGTGACGGTGAAAGAGATGAAGTAATCACACTGGGAATATTGTTGAAACGCAAGGGAAGAGATGACAAGATGAATCAACGTGTCGGAGGAGATGACAAAAAGACTACGACATATCTGAGATTTGGCAAAGTATTTGAAGATAAGAAATTTTTACACAGATCTGAGTTTCTGTTCAAGTGACGATTGTCCAACTTCTGCATCTTCATTTTCTTTAATCATTAAAACTATTGTAGCAGAGGGAGAAAAGTTCAAAACCATATATATCAACATATTGTTCAGTCGGCGACCACTCAATTTCTTCATCTTCATCTGTTTAATCTTTAAAACAATTATAATAGAAAGAGAGAGAAAACTGTTTTTATGTAACAAAGAAAGAGAAGAAAAATAAAATTAAAAAATGTAAACCATTTAGTTTCAAGAATACACGTGGTCAGAAAATAGTTAGGATAGTTAGCTTGTAGTTTTAATAAAGTACCTTAGGAGCAATAAGTGCTCTAGAGTGTAATAAAAAACTTGAAACTGCCCTACAATGAAAATAACTCCTTCATATTCTGGCTAGCCTTAACACTCTGCCTGTGATTTCATGTTTGTTGCTTTCATTTGTTTTGATCATATCTGCTTCTCTCTTGATAGCTTACAGATATTTATGTAGTTTGCAATGGATATAAGATATTTATGTAAACTTGTTTATGCAAATAAGATAATACTCTATCTGTTTCAATTTAGTTGTCATTGTAGACTAAAATTTTTGTTTTAAAATAAGTGTCATTTTATAATTTCAACAAAATATTTTTGATTTTATCTACTATTATATTTTTAGATAAATATATTTCTAAAAATATGTAAAATTAAATATATTTTTTATTATGTATATAAAAACTTAAAACAACAGATAAATTGAAACATAGAGAACACTAGTTTCTGGCAGCCTCTTATCCTCATGCATGAGGCCATGAGGGTGTGCGAATCCATTGGGTCCAAGTGGGACAATTATCTAACTTATTTTCTCATTAAAAAAGCACAAGTTGATTTGACTGTGAGCAAATCATTCGTTGCAAGCGAATCATGCACCGCCGAATATTTCATTTTCTGTATTTTATATATCTACATACAGAAGTTGCAAACAAATAACCAACCGAAAGAAACATCAAATTATTAATTTCGTGTAGTGCTCTCTCTCTTTTAATTGAATAGAATGACGTTTCTAGTTTCTCATGGAACTTTAGTGGGGCCCATGCGACCGCACAACATCGAGATTGTTGAAGCAAGTTGAACTGCGAAGATAATTGAGCCACTTGTACGAAGCTTCTGTCAATTACAGTTTTCGGTTCTACAATTGGTGGTTTATAAATTTAAATCGATTTATCGGCATAGGTGTTAATCTCATTCTTCACAATGTCAAATGCTTAAATCCATTAACATATCCAGCTGCAAACGCGTTACAATTTACAAGTAAACACATCTATCTAGTTTTAGATTTTTAGTTGAAGAAAAATATTTAGATTTTTCTTGTGATAATGATATTGATAATCCGCTGACACGATGACACATAATACGTTCGTGCGAAAATATCTTTAATCCTTAAAAAAAAAAAAAAAAATCTTTGAGTCTCCCGAGTTTCGTCAAGATGCGGACCAATGGGAACCTCTCTTTTAACCCGATGTGTTTACAGCATATATCCTACGTGGCAACCTCATCTTTCCTTTTTAACTTGTCAACGGACAGATCTAACTTTTTAAATCTTTAATTACAGAACCTGAGAGCGAAACTTTGACGAAGCTCTCGTACCTTCCTAAACCTGAAAAGATAAGAAAATCACCTAAATGGTTAAAATCATTTTTCTCTTCAATAATTGTGAATATACAAAAGCAAAGAGAATTAATATACGTCTTTGTAAATACGAAAAGAAATCAGAAGATGCGTGTTAAACGAGTATTAACTTTTAATAAAATAAAATAAAAATAAAATATACGGTGGAATCGGATAAATAGTTAAGAGATTCCGAGAAACTTGAAAAAATAACTCAAAGCAGCAACGAAGAAAAAAAAGAGAAAACAAAAAAAAAATGGCGTCAAAGGGGTGTTTCAATGGAATCCACAATATAAAAAGGGTTCATCCTCTGTTTCACTCTCCCACATATCGATTCTCTTCTTCTTATTCATCATCTTCTCTTTCATTGAAATCAAAACCTCAAGCTCGCATTCTCTCATCAAAGCTTCGTCTGTCTTCTGGTATTGCATCTTCACCTTCTCTCTCTTATATTCACTATTTAGATTCCACGTCTAACAACTTTTTTCTCGATACTCCATGTCTTGGATATATCAGGCATTGTTCTTCATCTTCTCGACGGTTTCATTTCTATTCACATAAGGTAACGTTTCTCTTTAGATCTGATCTATTTAGAACTCTAGATCTGTGTCTGATAATAGAAACTCTTTTGTTTTTTCTTAAAAAATTGAATATTTTAATCCATTTGATATATACAGAGAAGCGACGCGGCGAGGAGTTACATAGAAGAAGAGATGACGATTAAACCGGCGGTTCGGGTTTCCGATGGGAATCTAATCATCAAAAACCGTACGATTCTAACCGGTTTACCAGACAATGTCATCACGACGTCAGCATCCGAAGCCGGACCGGTCGAAGGAGTCTTCCTCGGAGCTGTATTCGACACGGAACAGAGTAACCACATCGTACCGATCGGTACGCTTCAAAATTCCCGGTTCATGGCTTGTTTCCGGTTCAAACTCTGGTGGATGGCCCAAAGAATGGGCGAAATGGGCCGAGACATCCCTCTAGAGACTCAGTTTCTATTAACCGAATCAAACGACGGGTCCCACCTAGAACCTAACGGCGACCAGAAACTCTACACCGTCTTCTTACCGTTAATAGAAGGCTCGTTCCGTTCGTGTCTACAAGGAAACGTTAACGACGAGGTGGAGCTCTGTTTGGAGAGCGGAGACGCGGATACCAAAACGTCGTCGTTTACCCACTCTTTATATATTCACGCCGGCACTGATCCGTTTAAAACTATAACGGAAGCTATCCACGCCGTTAAGTTACATCTCAAGAGTTTCCGTCAACGTCACGAAAAGAAGCTCCCAGGGATCGTTGACTACTTCGGGTGGTGCACATGGGACGCGTTTTACCAAGACGTTACTCAAGAAGGCGTGGAAGAAGGGCTCAAGTCTCTAACCGCCGGAGACACGCCGCCGAAGTTCGTCATCATCGACGACGGTTGGCAATCCGTCGAGAACGATGAGAACCCGGTCGAGACGAACCCGGTTTACCGGTTAACCGGGATAAAGGAGAACGTGAAGTTCAAGAACAAGGAAGAAGGGATCAAGAACATAGTGGAGATAGCTAAAAACAAACACGGTCTGAAATACGTTTACGTGTGGCATGCAATAACGGGTTATTGGGGCGGGGTACGACCCGGGGAGGAATACGGGTCTTCCATGAAGTATCCGATGGTGTCGAAAGGTGTGGTGGAGAATGAACCGACGTGGAAGAGTGATGTTATGGCGGTTCAAGGGTTGGGTTTGGTTAACCCGAAGAATGTGTTTAGATTCTATAATGAGCTTCATAGTTACTTGGCTGCTGCTGGTGTGGATGGTGTGAAGGTGGATGTGCAGTGTATATTGGAGACTTTGGGTGGTGGTTTAGGTGGTCGTGTGGAGTTGACACGTCAGTATCATCAAGCTCTTGACTCCTCTGTTGCTAAGAACTTCCCTGATAATGGTTGCATTGCTTGTATGAGTCATAACACAGATGCTCTCTACTGGTTAGTATTTTCACTGTCTTTTACTCTTTCCGGTTTTTAATAGATTAATGTTATAGAATTAGGCACATAATTTCTTGGGTTAATTCGATGAATAACTATATTGGGGTAATCATTAGATTTGTAGTAACAGGGTATGGAGAGATAGGAAGAAAAAGGAGAGAGAGAGGGATCAATATGATTAGTTGGTGAAATATAGTTCTTTTTTTTTTTGGTTATAGGATCAAATTTCTCAAACAAAATATTATTAATTATTCATTTAACCATAATTAACATAATTTTGTCATATAATACAAAAAGTAATAAATTTTTCACTGAAAAATAAAAAAAAATCTCTAAAATCATAAAGAATTAAAAACTGAGGGGTTATTCAAAATAGTAAAGTTCTTATAGAGAGTAAAGTTTTAGAATTATGTACACAAATTAAGAAATAAAAAACGTTTTAACATTTTTTATTCAAAATATTATTAATTATTCATTTAACCATAATTCATAAAACAAATTGTATAATAGAACTTAGCATATGATAAAAATTAATAAATTTTGCAATGAAAATTGACAATGTTATATAATTTGGAACAAAAAAAATTAAAAACATCACATATTAAAAAAAGACTGAGTATTAATTTGTGTGTTTTGATTTGAGTATTTATTTATTTGAATTTGATCGATGGTGATGCAGCTCCAAGCAAGCAGCTGTGATTAGAGCATCAGATGATTTCTACCCACGTGATCCGGTGTCACACACCATCCACATTGCCTCGGTTGCATACAACAGTGTCTTCTTGGGAGAGTTTATGCTGCCTGACTGGGACATGTTCCACTCCGTGCACCCTGCTGCAGAGTATCATGCCTCCGCTAGGGCCATTAGTGGTGGACCTATCTACGTTAGGTGCACATCTCTCAAAACATCCATTACTTATTGCAAACAAACTCACACTGTTTACTTATTAGTTTGTCTCTCTGTGTTCTTGATTAACAGTGATGCTCCTGGAAAACACAACTTTGATCTTCTAAGAAAGCTTGTGTTGCCTGATGGTTCCATCCTTCGTGCTAGATTGCCTGGTAGACCAACCGTTGATTGTTTGTTCACAGATCCTACTCGTGATGGTGTCAGGTAATAAGCAATTTGGCCTATAAAGATGAGTTTGTGTTTGCTCATTTTCTTACTTGTGCACTGTTTGGTTTCAGCTTGCTTAAGATATGGAACATGAACAAATACACTGGAGTTCTTGGCGTGTATAACTGTCAAGGAGCAGCTTGGAGTAGCACAGAAAGAAAAAACACATTCCACCAGACAGGCACTGATAGCATCACTGGCTCCATTCGTGGTCGTGATGTGCATTTGATCTCTGAGGCCTCCACTGATCCAGCGACATGGAATGGAGACTGTGCTGTTTACTCACAGAGCAGAGGTGAACTCAGCGTTATGCCATACAACGTGTCTCTACCTATCTCGTTGAAGATCCGTGAGCATGAGATCTTCACAGTGAGCCCTATTAGTCATCTGACTAACGATGGTGTCTCATTTGCTCCGCTTGGTCTTGTGAACATGTACAACTCGGGAGGAGCTGTCGAGGGACTTGGATATGATGGTGAGGAGATGAAAGTGGTGATGGAAGTTAAAGGATGTGGTAAGTTTGGAGCTTACTCATCGGTGAAGCCTAGTAGATGCGTTGTTGAGTCAAGTGAGATAGCATTTGACTATGATGTCTCCTCTGGTTTGGTCACTTTTGAGTTGGGCAAGATGCCTTCGGAGACCACAAGATTACATGTGGTTGAAGTTCAGTTCTAAAAAATATTAGCTTGCAAGAATGATTCAAACAATATTCATTACATGTAAACGGTTTGGTAATTGTTGTAGCTACTTTTGGTGTTGTATTGGTGTATTCAATATAATTACTGGAGTAATTTATTTTTTCAATAAGTTTAAGATGATTTTAGGTAAATTCAGAATTTATTTTAATTTTAGTTAAACCACTTCAAAATTTCTAAAACCATGAAATTTGAATTAATAAAAAAACTGAGAAATTGCATTATAACACTCTAAAGTAACTAACAAAAGTTATAAAATTTACAGTTAAATTTTTTCAATAACAGTAAATTTTGCAGTAATTTATCAAATCACAAGTTCAATAACTATAGATGGCAATCATCGATCTGGACCGTGGGTATAACCCTACCCGTAAATAACTGTTGCGGAACGGTATTGGGACGAGGTTATTGACAATAACACTGTTTAAAAAATAATCTAAATTCATATTTAAATAACAGTTATCTGTCATTTAAATGTGTGCCTTTTTGTTGTATACCAATATTTTATCCCTAAAGAATCTTAAGAAAAGAGTATGTAGCATCACAATTGCAACCTAATGTTTATCCTTCTCAACCAGACAGAGTGAAGAAGCATCCTAAGCATGTCAAACGGTTGAGACGGTCTATTGAGAACGAAATGTCTCTGTACCTGCATGACCCTTCTTTGCAACACCAAGTAGCGTCTCCACGACACGTTCTTTAATATGGTTTTAATCTCCGGGATCTTCTCAGAGGGGATATGAATGGTGAACTTACTCCAATCAAGAACGTCTGAGAAGGGCAATGCGTAGTGATCAGAGATGATGACTGGGACGCAACCTAAGTTAATGGATGCAACGATTCTTGGGCTAGCCACTTCGTAGCCACTAGGACAGAGACAGAACCTTGCCTTGGACATGAGCTTGAAGTAGTCTTGGTTTTTGGGTAAGTACTCGTGGACTTGGACTTCCTGGTCTTTGTCTTTCCAATGCTCTAATAGAATCTTGCGGATGTAACCGTGTGAGCCGCCTGCGAAGAAAGCAAGGGTTGGTCGGTCATGGCCGGAAGAGCTGGATAAGCGAGGTGGTCCTAGTTGCCCCACGGGGATTTTGATCTCCGGGATTGAGACATCTCGTTGGGGCATGAAACCTTCTGATGTGTTGGCGTTGCATAGGACTCTTATCATGTTTTTCAACATCTCCGGGTTCGATCCCGAGACGTCTGGTGCCTGCAAGACATCTCACAAGTGCTACGTTATAATCCAAACTCCGCCCTTAGTTAAATTGCCAGAATACGATTAACCTTGGGATTTGAAATCACTACTTATATACCTGATATTGACTATAATGCACAAGAACATTCTGTAGTCTTAGTAAGAGGCTGGGGAATCATTCATTACTAACAAAATATAATGTCACATTTTTATCTCATTTCAATTATTATTCATGCATATAGAGAGAGTGAAAGAAAACGAACCCAATCATGGCAAGAAACGAAGAAATGGTCAGCTCCTAGGCTTCTATTCCAATAAGGATACTTGTGAGCCACGACATTGACGTAGTCAAGAAACACATTGTGAAGTTGTTCTCTAGAGTAGGTCACGAGCGGCTGGTATAGGTAATGAACAATGTTGGTGACGCTGACGGGGATGAGGAAGGTGTGAGCCTCGTCCGGGTGGGTAGCAGCGAATGGGCTCCTACCTCTCACGATCTCGTCCATGAACTGGCCTTCTATGCCATATATGCCGTTCAATGGACCCGTGTGCACTAATGGTATCTCTCCTTCTCTATATACCCATACTTTAAATTTCTTCTCCATCTCTATATGGCTTCTGCATAATTTCATAAAGAAATTTTTAGTTGGCTTGGGTTGAACTAGTTCGTAGAAAAAAATAAAAAAAGTTATTCTTAAGTAACAATACTTATTTGTAGTCTAAAATACTTCAAATTATCAATCAGGTTTGGAATTTTTTTAGAAGGATAACTCAGAATTAAATGAATAATAAAACAAAATAAAAGATAGATAGATGGAATACAAATCCCAAAGCAGGCTTTAAGTGTGTGCTACGTTTCTTTACCCGCCGGTTATTGTGACTGATCATAGTATTTCACAGATACATTGACTAGATAGTAGTATTAAACCATGAAGTAAAACCGTATACTATATGAAAACCATGAAGTAACCATATATATATGTGTTACAAAAAATAAAAATAAAAACCATATATATATAAAACTAGCCATTTGGCCTAAAATTTACATTTATCAACCAAATATCATATGGTGTTTACGTAATTACTTATGAAGGTTTAAGTTGCATCCGGATTTGATGAAACCTTCATTTTGGTATCGAGTTTTTGGTATTTACTGTATACATTACCTTTACTTATGTTTATATAAGAAAACAAACGTGTTTACTTCAAAAGAAGATGTATATCCATTAATATGGATAGTTAATATAGATCAATCTCGAGTCTACCGAGATGTGGAGATTTAAGCGACGATGATGAATTCAAATGATACTCAATCGCTTCATTTCCCAATACAAACGAGTAAATACACCAAGAATATCGAATTTGTACGATTTCGTATAGAAAATCAACTTCTATGAATATTTTGGTTATGAACTGTTACAAGGAATGATTTTTTTTGTAAACTGAATTTATCACATCAATGTAAATTTTGAATTTATCTTCTGAAAGTCAAATGAGAACTAATTAAGGAGCTAAACATGTGTCAACAAATTAAATGAAAGTTCATGGTGTTATCGTATTAATAATGAAACTAGAGTTTCACCCGCACATCCGTGCGGGTATATTTTTTATTTTATAAATATATAACTAAATTTTTTTAATATATGATTTATATTTTAGTTTTAATTATAATCATATCTAATAACGAAATAAAGAAATACTTATTTTATAAAAAAATATATTTAAAATTTTTGGTAATATCTTGTTAGATTTTTTCAACAGATTTTGTTATATTTAAATTTATTTATTATTAATGTTCTTATTAGTTATTAAGATATTGTGAAAATCATATATATTTGACTGGTTAATGTAACAATAAAATATGTAACAATAAAATATGTCAATTAAGTAATTAATAACATGGTTCAACATGACTTCTAAATAGTAGATAAATTTGGTACTTCTCTTTTAATAGAGAAGATGGTATTGAACACTTGCGATGTGTTCAAACAAAAAATTGAATACTTGTGAATACGCTTGATCTTATAATATTTGAAAATATAGAATTAAATGAAAAGAGTAAAAGGACAATTATTTATAATTGAAACTGTTAAAGTATCAAATATCAAAATCATAATGTATCTTTGAAAATATATTTTTTTAATTATTTCCTAGTATTAAATCAAAAAACTTTTGGTTGAGAATGAACTTTAAAAGTGGAAAAAAATGAAAGAGGAAAGAAAAGAAGAAACGGAGACAGGAAGGAATAAAACTTACTGATGAAATGCATAAGCGTTTCTGTAAACGGCTCCATGAGGAACAAATGTTTCTTCATTCTCCGATGCATACTTCTTCGACCTCACGGCCTCATGTATAGCCGCTCTTGATTTCGCTAAACCCTCCTCTATTCCATTCCTCGTCTTTTCTTTCTTATCACAACAAATCATATAGTTTCAAGATAAATCCAAAAAGGACTTGTATTATATATAAAAAAAGGAGTCCAACTCCATCACAGCAACACCATATATATTATACCTTTTCAGCACTCGGAATTAATGTGAAGTTTGATGAATGACTGCTAAAGTTCATGGATAGGAACGGTGAAGGAGACATTGCCAGAGATGTAGCATCCACGAAAGAAGAGAGAGTACTGTTGGAGTTTAGGTTTGGAGAAGACTGATGTTGATAAAAGAGGAGAAGGACAAGAAGAAGAAGAGGAGTTGGTGCTAGAGAGAATCTCATTGAAACAAAATCTGATTGTTTCATATTTTTTCTTTCTGGTTTACTAGTTTCTTAGGATAAGAGGATGGTAAGTATATAACACCTTTGGGGCATGCATGTATATTTATGAGGGGAAGAAAATATGTTTTCTTCCTCCAATAGTATTATTTTATTTAATTCTTTAGAAATTACTCTTAAATACTAATTAGAGAAATCCAATTCACTTAATTGACTTACAAATAAAATCATTTAATGTTCAATATAAGTTTTTGGTCGAAAAAATAAAATCATTTAAGGAGAAGATAAAGTGAAATTGAATTGGAAACAAATCAAACTAGGGGGAAACAAAAGGAAGACTAGTCTGTAACAATGTATTAATTTGTATTGATTGCATCGGAAAATGCTTACCGAATGTGAAATTAAACTTAATCTTTTTATAGATTAGATTCCGCGTTTGGCAGTGGCTACTGTTAACACTAATCATGGCCCTAAGTTTTGTAGCATGCTTAACTTTTGGGTCCATTTTAGACCTTTTTCTATCAACAAAGGGATTTCTAGTTTAGTCCCGTGCCAAAAAATAAAACGAAAAACCTATGTAACCATGATCAAACTGGTTCGTCTGATATTCAAATATGAATTGGTTAAGCAGCGGTTTTAAACTGACACAAATTTTCAAAAATTAAGCATGCTAAATTTACGCTTAAACTATCAATGTGGATTTGACAGTTTGACAAAATGCATGCACCAAATAGGGCTGGGCAAACAAACCGAATCCGAAAATTCGAATCGAATCTGACCCGATAAAAAAGAATCTGAATCGATTCGAACCCGACATAAGTACCGAATGCATCTTATTTTATGGTATTTCGGATTATGGGTTTTACCCGAACCGAACCCGAATTTAAATGGATATCCGAAAGAACCCGAAACTTTAACAATTACAGAAAAAATTTGTACCATATCCAATCTAAATTTCTAATATATATATGTTTCTAACCCAATTAATATATTATTTAATACCTACAACAATTAGGTATTATATAAATAATTAACTCAAATAGTTAGTCTAATATATATTGTTATTTGGTTAATATTAATGTTTATGACTGACATTACATTTAAAGTTAAGTTATGAATAAATTTGTTTTGATGTTTAAATAATGTTGTTTTTAAAAAAGTTTAAATATATTTCTTAGAATTGTTAGTTGTTAATTTTAATTTTTTATGTTTCATTATGTATAATTATCGTTCATACAATGCTTTGGTTTCTCATTAATCACGATATGTTTAGTGGTGTCACATATAGTTCAATGACAAATCTTATATGGGTGATAGACGAGTTTCACAATATTATTTTGAAAGAGAACAATATGGTTTGTAGAAGTTAAATAGAGAAATCTAATAAAATAATTGAAAATATTGTGAGTTTAGTTGAGTATAAATTAGTATTTTTTAGAACCGATAACCCGATTAGTATCTGAAACCAAAACTATTCTGGGTTCAACCGGATCTTGGACATGTTACTAAATTCGAACCGAATCCGACTAAACCCGAACCGAATCTGACTCGAATTTTTATAATATCCGAATAGGACTGAAATTCATGAATCCGAAAAACCCAATATAATATCGCAATAGGACTGAAATTCATGAATCCGAAAACCCAAAACCAGAATGAACCCAAACCGAAACCCGATTAGGACCCCGATTGCTCAGTCCTAACACCAAGTATCATGCGAGACCAATACAATATGTGGCTTCCGAAACTTGAAAAGGGTTTGGTTCATAGCATAGTATGCTAATGCTATGAAGAAGAGAGCGAGGACTAAAATATCCTCCAAGTGCACGGTGAGGACTCTATACTACATTGAGTAAGATAAACTTTATAATATACACTTTTCTAATTGTGTAAAAAAGCTTAACCAACACTTACTCGAAATTTCAATTGGCTCACAAAATTTTCATAAACTTAACTCTCATCGGATTGAATATATCATTTTAAATACTTTTCAGTGACAAATATTTGATTTATGAAAACCATATTCAATAAAATAGGACAAATGCCATTACAATTCAATTTAAAAACGAATGGAATTATTACAATTTTCCCCACGTGATTTTTTTTTTATCATCAAAAGAATTACAAAAATAAATATGGTTTAACAACCAACGTGGTCACGCCAATCCAAGAACAAGAGAGCAGCTGCATAGTGAGACAAAGCACCCAACAAAACAAACACATGGAAGATCTGATGACTATGCCCCACACGATCAAACCATCCCGGTTTAAGCCTCTCAGGCACTCTCCCTACGTAGAACCCTGTCCCAACAAGATAAAACACTGCCATACCCAGCTCGTACAAGAGCGTCACGTTCCTTTGCGGGTTTTCCCAGTTGACCACAAGCGCATGGATAGCTGGCACGATCCCGAAGAGCCCCATGGAAGCAAAGAGCAAAGCGCGAAAACCTCGGTACTTGGGAGAGGAAAGTGATGGAGTAAAGAGTGTGATGATCGTGAAGATTCCCATAGAGGTGATGGCCGCTAGGTAGATGAAGTACCAACGAGGAGTGCATTGGAAGATGTAGTAGATTGGTGGGAAGAAAGATGTGATGATCATGGCGGTGATACCGGCATAGTCTATGCGGAGGAGGAAGATGTTAAGGTTATGGGAGTGGCAGCAGAAGAGGTGGCAAATGCTGCTCGAGAGTAGGCAGAACATTGAGCCTCCTAAGAAGACGAAGAATGGCCATCTTGCTGCATTCCCTGGACTCTTTGCATCCTATACAATCATCAATGGTAATAACATCATTACCTTTCACTTAAAAATTCTTCTATTTTTTTGAAAACTAATATCAAAAACATGTTATAGTCTATGATGTATCGAACTCTAATTCATTTCTAATATTTTTTCGAAAGATCTTATCATTGAGTTGAATTCTAATCTAAGAACTGCATTATGTTAACCTGCTTAAAATATACTCATAAGTACATATATATATATATTTACATATGTATATAAATCAATAATTTGCATATGTGATAGTTTCATAGGAACGTTATCGTAATTTATCATTTCGATTTTACGCTGATATTTGATAGCTAGAGAAATCACAGCTAAATTTGTCCAACAAAAAAAAAAAGAGAAATCACAGCTAATATATTATATTAATAATCATATCAAAACCAAAGAATTAAAATTACTCTGTGATAAATGCATTGATTTGAATGTTAATCTCTTTTTCGACAATTATAATGTTAATCAAAACCAAGTAGGTACATCTATTTCTACAATATACATCCCACTTGAATAATTTGAAAAGTTAATATAGTGGTTGTATATAAGCTTAGTTCAAAAAAAAAAAATTAGAGGTTGTATACTGAGATCCGGTCTGAACATCTGTGATAAATGCATTAGAGGTTGTATATTGTAAACAATTAAAGCACACTTACCACGGGGAAGAATTTATCGTGATGCATAATGTTGGCAACGGTTAGTCCAACAAATAAGATGAAACCAAGTAAATGTCTGTCAAGACAAAAACACATTCACTTCATCAGAAACCAAACAATAAACAAAACTTAAAATGAATTAAATAAATGTTGGTTAAAACATATAATACTAACGTCCAAACGTTGAGGGACTCATTGTGGAAACTGAAGATGCTGAAGAAAGCATCTCTAATGGACCACTCAGCTCTGTAATAATTCAATATATATTCGTTATCCTTCATGTATTCTGGTAGCTCACTAAACGACATTAACTCCCGTCGGTTTCTTGTCTTCTGCGGTTTCCTCTTCTTTCTTTTCTTGGTACGGTTGCTTTCGTCTCCAACGTGAACATCTCCTGTAGCAACTTTGCTATCGCACTTGCTGTTTCCGCAAGCCACACTTTCTGGCTCTTCTTTCTGATCATCTTGGTCCATGTATTAACTCTACTCTCTAGTGACGATTATATAAGACAACAGTACTTGTTTTATGATCCAAGATCAATGGAAAAGAGAAGACGGTGTGATAGAAGATCTGAGATTAGAGAAAATATATAAATGGAAAATAAATTATGTTATAAGTATTCATATTATGTTTGTATATGGAAGATGGGAGATGCAGAGAGCCAGCTGCACCATTTAAAGAAGAAACTTTAGTATGCCGGTAGGAGTTGGTGTCTTGTTTTCATTTAGTTGTTAGTTAGGTTATCAATAAATTCTTATTTTTATAATTGTTTTTTCTTTCTCCTTTTCGCATTTCATAGTATTTTTACAAGAAAGGTGGATTTTGTTTTACTATACTTCTACAAAAAAAAACAAAATTAATCTATATTATAATAGTTCACTTCTAAGGCTCCTAAAACTGTCCACGTCAGCAAGTTTGTGGGTCCCACATATTTAAATTCTAAAAACTTAAAATTTGTTTAAAATGAGTATGAACAATGAATATATTTTAGTCCAGTGGTATAAGGCATCTAATGAAGTCCACAAATGTGTGGGTTCAAACTGCGTAGCTGTTATGTATTTTAGTTTTTTTGTTTGAATTATTATCATATGATTTTTTAGTTTTAATGTTTTTTTTCCTCTAGACATATTGTTTCCTAACGTTTGACGAACTCAGACCAAAAAACAATTAAAAAGGATCAAAAAACGAACAGTCCAAAAAACAAAAACAAAATGAGTCCCACGTGGTACTATCATGTCCTAATATATATTTTCTGTTAGAACATATTTTCAAAAAATTATGTATGTGAAATAAAATAAAAAAACAAAATTTAAGTATTTTTTATTTATAAAATAACAATGTAATTTCTCTTCAATTTTTAATAGTTACTTTAATTTTATTTTTATCAGACTCCGGCGAATGGATTTCCACAGTCGATGACGCCGTAAATAAAAATGCCACATTATTCATGAACAAAATCCAAACTTACAAAAAAACATATCCAAACCTATCTATTGAAACCCAAACAACAAATATTAGCTTAAACTAAAGTTATTTTCAAATTGATAAATCGTTTAGTACAATTATAAATACTATAAATAAATAATTATATCAAG